CTAAAAGTCTAGATTTGTATTCCCTTTTGGAATTACCAGGGCCCGCTCAGCGCGTCTGGCAGGCCAGCAGCGGCCCGTCAGGGTCCACACCGTCCAGCAGAGACAAGCAACGCGGCAGCCAAGCGACTTGGGGAGCCTTTTGGAACCGCTAACCCCTAAGCTCGTCTTCCATTGACGTGAGAGCCCAAGGCTACTGTTGTCTAGCATTTACGACGCCTATCGACAGATCACCTTGCCAGCTCACTTCCGTAGTCATCCTTGACCGTGGATGCCTGCCAACAATGCTCACAGTTGCCCTCGGTATCAACCCGCTGTTCCCGAACCTCGCTCGCGCCCCTGACAGGAGCACCGAAGCGATCGCCCTCCGACGCGCAGAGACTTCTCCGCTCCTCGGACAATCTTCTGCGCACCGCTAGGTCGACCGTTACATCAAGGTAGGAGGGTTAGTTAGGGTTTGGACTAGGGTTAGGGTCTGGGCCAGGGTCAGGGTTAGGCCTGGGGGTTACAGGGGGTCTCTCCAGAGAGCCATTCTGTTTTCTCTGCACAGAAGTTGAGTGTGGTTGTAGAAGATGCCAGGTGGCTTGCAGCAAGGGTGTGTTTGGGTTGCTCTGATGACCTGGTGGGCCTGCCAAGATGTCTATGGTAGTTGCAGTCCTTGCCTTGTTGATGTGGCCCTGAATTTGCTCTTGCTTTTGTTCCATGGTGACTGTGCATCATTCACCATAGGGTGCCATTGCCGGGCGGGTGCAAGGGTCATTGAGCCACAGCAGGGCTGCTAGTGCTGTTAGGGTGCAGTGGCATTCTCATTTCATTTCTCGCGAATCCAACGAGCCGCTACGGTGGGGTGGGAGAAGGGGACTCCGTCTCCGCTGCGCGCTCACGCTCGCGCTGCTCCCTTGCGCGCTGGGCCTCGAGGATCTTTGTAGGCCACCCCCTTCGCTTTCCGCCGGCCTTTTTCCTCCTGCCGACGAACCTCGGTACGTCGATGGGCGGGCGCGGGATGCCGAGCTCCTGGCGCATCTGGTTGATGTCGCGCTCCCAGCACTTTTCCCACTCGACGCCGATGAGCGGGCTGGCGGTCCTGCCGACGTGGGTGGCCCAGGGCACGAGGGTTCTGAGCATGTCGAGTTCCCGGAGAGCGGCCGAGTCGCTGGTCGCTTGTTGGACGGCGTGCTGCCGTTGGTCTGCGCCGGCGAACAGGGTCGAGGGCGGTGGGAGCGAGGCGATGCCCGATGCGAGGAGGCGGAGCGTGCCGCCGAGCGCTGCAAAGCCGGCGACGGGCATCTTCATCTGTGCGACCTCAAAGTACTTGATGACGGTCTCGCCGAGCTGGGTGACGGGCATGCGGAGGAGGAGGTGGTAGAAGTCGTGCGACTCGCGGTAGCGCTGCACGAGAAACTTTTGCTCGGTGGTGGGCATGTAGTCGGCCTCGGCCCTGCCGTCTGGACCGACGCCGTTTTCCTTGAGCCACTCGATCCATTCGCGTCCGAATTGGCCGCGTTTCAGCTGCGAGAGGTACTCGACGTCGACCGTGTCCGAGTTGATGGATGGGCGCTGGACGAGGAGCCTGCGTCCGGACTCGGTGGAGCGCATCAGGGCGAGGAGGTGGGGCAGCGAAGGGGGCGACGAGACCTGGGTGAGGATCGAGAGGAGGTCTGCGGGAGGGGCCAAGTTGCGAGACGTGCAGCGGGTACCGGGTGTCGAGCAGGAGCGCGCGAGGGGCAGGGTGGTGAGGCGTAGGGCGAGCGTGATGCGTGGAGCCAGAAGACAGGTGAGGCGCAAGCGCAAGGCATGCGTCGAGCGTCGAGCGTCGAGCGCCGAGCAAGAGTGGGGTGGAGGAGGGAGAAGTGACAAGGCGTCAGCGATGATTGGTCTCGACTGGCGGGACAAGAGCGGCGCTGGGCGTAGCGGGGACGACGCAGCCTCTGCTCACCTCCGCGTGCGGGGTTGTTGAGGAGGCCGAGCGCGCTGCCGGCTGTGAGGAGGAGCTTTGCGGTGGTCGACGTCTGCCGGTGGTCGACCTCGTCGATGCGGCTGCGGGGTGCGGCGGCCGAGCGGGGTGCGTCGTGGGAGAGGGCGCGGGTTGCGGCGGGGGCGAGTCGTACTCGGGACGAGGTGGCGACTGGGGACCTTGGGCCGACGCAGAGGAGGGCGAGTGGCGACGCTGTGCGGGTTGTGGCGTGCATTCTGGGCGGTGGCAGTGGGGGCGGCGGTGACGGTGAGGGTGACGGCGACGGTGGGGAGTCGTGGTGGCGGTAAATTGGAGTCGTGTGGCGGGAGCAGGCGATGATGAGAGGGGCGGAGCGCAGGAGCGCAGGGGTGCGTGGGCGGTCCACATTGGGCCTTGGTTGGGCGGATCCGAGGGGGCGTCCGCTCGCCTCCACCTCAAAGTCCAGGCGATGTTTGCTGTCGCGGTCAGAGAGCAGAGCGCCGCGCCTTTGCTCCAACGAGAAAATTGAGCGGCTGTTTGCCTTTTCTCCTTTGGCCTCGCCTCGACGTCCCCCCCACACCACCACCAGCACCACCACCACCACCATCTCCCTGGCCCTCGCCGCGCCAACCCGCTATGAACACCTCGAGCCGCTCAAACACCGTCCACGGGCTCAGCGGAAAGGTGACTGGCCTCAAATTTATGCAGAGGAGCCTACAGCAGCAGACGCAGTCATCGCCGGCACCATCAGCAGCTCCATCGACGCCCAAGGCCACTTCCTCGTCAGCGGCAGGAAAGAGTAATCGCTTCGCGGCCATCGCAGACGCAGCCTCGCCAGCACTCTCGTCGACATCCTCTTTCGGCAGTCCAGCGGCGCAATCACCCGGTGGACCTGCATCCAACGCCGACGCAGAGCAGTGGGTCGTGCCTCTTGCCAAGCGACCAAAGATCGCCAGCAGCAGCACCAGCAACACCGCGCAGGGCACGCACAACGACACCCCGGCAAAGTTCCAACACGAAGCGGGCTGGGACGCCTGGCTGCTCGAACGCGAAAAGCACGACTCGGCAACCGCCTCGACATCATCCTCGTCGTCGTCGGCTCGACCCTCCTCGGCTAGAAGGACGTTTGGCGTCTTCCCCGATCAGGAACAGCAGCAGCGAGAGCCGCAAGAGGACGACGACGCATCTAACGACGAATCGGGCAGCAGCGACGACGACAGCGACGACGACCGTAGAGGCCAGCCCCACATCGACGACTCGGGCGACGAAGGCGCACGCACACCATCGGCACGCAAGGGCGGCCCTAAAAAGGAGTTCCTCAAGCCCGGGTCATTGGCCAAGGGCGGATCCGGCCAGTCCAGCAGCGGAAAGGTCAAGAGCAGCGCCAGCAGTAGCAGCAGCGGCGGCGGCATCAGCGGAAGTCGCAAGAAGCAGGACGAGATTATCACGGCCCGCAAAAAGGCCGGCGGCATCAGCAGCAGCAGCTACAGCAGCAGCAGCCGAGGCGGCGCACGCAGAGGCGGCATCAGCAGCGGTGGCAGCCGAGGCGGACGAGGCGGCCGAGGAAGACGATGAACTGCTCCCCGCGCGGGCTCCTCGAGGCTCGACGGCGCGCCGAGGCAGAGTCGCAGCGTCAAGGATCGAGTGGAAGCCGAGGTGGCGGCGGCAAGGGTGGCGATGAGCGGGCCCCGTGGCAAAAGGTGCTCTGGAGGCCCCAGCCGTACCCGGACAACTACGTGGCCCCCTCGTTTCTCGATCAGCTGCGCACCAACAGTGAGTTTTTTACGACCCCTCATCGTCGTTGTCGTCGTCGTCGTCGCAGCTGCACAGTGTCATGTCGCGACGGTGCCGGTCGCTGACCAGCCCCGCCCCGCCTCGCCGCCGATCCCCAGCCTCGATCCGCCTGCCCACCCTGGTCGAGCTGGTTCTGTCGTCGCTGCCCATCTCGCAGCAGTTTCTCACGACGATGCTCTTCGTCTCGGCCTTTATCCACCTCTACTCGGGCCTCGTCACGGCACCCTCGCTGCTCGTCGTTTCGCTCAGCGCATCGATGCTCGCCTGGACCACGGTGCGGGTGCGCGACCGGGTCGAGTCGTCGTTGCAGCGTTGGCACCGCACTTCCTCGGCCGAACCGTCCGGCCCACGGCGCACCCGGCTGCAACGACGACGACGGCAACAAGGCCGCAGGGACACGAATCCGGTGCTGGGGCTCGTGATCCTGGGCTTTGTGCTGCTCTCGCTCTCGCCCGTGCTCAAGACGCTCACCGAGGCCACGACGAGCGACTCGATCTGGGCGCTCTCGACGCTCCTCTTTTCGCTCCACCTCGTCCTGGCCGATTACCGCCTTCCGCTTCCGCCTCCGTCTCCACCTTGCACACGGGCGTTGACCGAGGCTGGCGACGGCGGTGGCGGGGCAGGGACTGAGGGGTTTACGAGTGGACCGCCGAGGACGCTGGCTTCGACGCTCAGCCTCAATGCGGCCGTGTGCGGCTCCGTCGTCCTGGCCTCCCGACTCCGGTCCGACGAAGAGGTGTTTGCCCTCGTCCTCTTTGCGGGTATACTCTTTGGTCTCGGACCCATCTGGCAGAAACGTCTCCTGTCGCCAGTCAAACCATCGACTTGCGCTACTACAGCAACAGCAGGCGCGACCACGACGACGACGACGAGGAGGAGGACAGCGACACTCGTCGTCTACACGCTGCTCCTCTACGCCACCGTCATGGCCTCGCTCCTACCCCTCGATACCCGCGCCCCGGCCGCCTTTACCTCGTTGGCCGTGGCATTCGTCTCGGGCCTCTGTCCCGCCTGGATGCGCTGGGCCCAGCGATGGAAGATGGAAATCAAGGGGCCCTGGGATCCCGCCGTGCCCGTCTTGTCCAATCGAGGTCGGGGTGGGTGAGCAAGGGGAGGGGTTAGGAGGATGGATCGATTGAGATCCGCCAAGGGGTGGGATGAGCAGGGGTATGTATGACCAGGCGAATGGATAGAATAGGTAGATGCTCGTCGCCGCCATCCGATCCAGTTGACACGGCCCAGAGATGGCCCGCACCGCACCGCACCGCACCGCACCGCACCGCACCGCACCGCACCGCACCGCACCGCACCGCACCGCACCGCACCGCACCGCACCGCACCGCCTAGAGATCGGCGAGCTCCGAAGCCGATATGTCGGAAAACTGCGACCACAGCTCGTCGTCGTCGCCTTCGACCCTCGCTGTGTCGTCCCGGACGTCGACGTCGACCTGCATCTCGAGCTCGACTTGCACCTCTGCCGTCGCCGTCGCCGCCGCAGCAGCAGGAACAGCAGCAGCAGCGACAGCAGGAGCAGCACCGCCCTGCGCCTCCACTCGGCCCTTCCTCGTCCGGATGCGCTCGTCGACCTCGTCGGCCATCTTCTGGCGCCACTCGCAGCCTTCCTGCCACACGCAGTGCCAGCACCGCCTAGTTTCGGCCGGCGTGACGCCGCGAAGCGCCCTCGAGCCGCGCCACAGCTCGAGCGCGTCGACCAAAAACGCCTGCAGCCCGTCTGCGTCGTGCGCAAACGACACGTGGCCGAGGTAGCGCCTCGGCTGCTTGGGCTTCTGCTTGCTGCCGCCACGGCTCGGATGCCGCTTGCCCTGGCGGTTGAGCGTGCTGGGCTGGTGGATGTAGCTCAGCGTCAGCGTGCTTTGCATCACCTCGTGCGGCGGCGGCCCCGGCGTGGCGGGAGTGGCTGGAGTAGGGGGCGCCGCGCTCGTCGCGTCGTCGGCAGGCGGCCCACGCGGTTCCTCAGTGGCCGTCGCATTCGCAGTCGAGAGTGAGCTGCCCCGCCGGGCGTCGTCGACCAGGTCGCACAGTCCCCGCTCGAGAAGCGCGACAATGTCCGAGAGCGTGCATCCCTCCGAGGCGGCCGCGCCGTCGCCGCCGGAACGGAGGGCAGGGAGGGCAAAGAGGTCGCAGCCCCAGCTCTCGGCCAAAGGGAGGGCGGAGGCGAGGAATCCGGACGAGAGCGTCTCGTGGGGCGACAGGGAGAGCGACTCGAGCGTCGCAATCCAGTCGATGGGCGTGGCGTGAGGATCGAAGCTCATCTCGGACTGCGAGGGGGCCTGCCCGCGTTGCGAGGCGAGCGCACCTAGGCACATGCCGTCGAACAAGCGCTTGTAGATCATGCACTGCCGCCGAGCCTGCGCCTGGTCCTGCTCGGCGGGCAGAAAGGGCGACACCCGCGTCTTGGTGTCGGAGAGGAAGTAGCCCCAGCCTTTGCCGTCGTTCGTGACGAGCATCTCGGCGTCCTGCGATGGCTCAGCAGATGCCATCTGCATCGGCGCCGCGGAGGCAAGGGCCGACTCTCCGGCAGGTGCCAGTTGGGACGCGGGGCCCGGAGAAGCGTCGGCGGACGTTGACTGAGACGAGCTGCCGGCGGTGTCCGCGATACCTTTGGCACCGGCCAGCTGCGACGAGCTGACGGCGGGGTCCGCTGTCCCCTTGGCATCGGTCTTTTTTCCCGGCGGGGTGAAGCCGAAGCCCTCGAGTTTGGTCGTCTTGAACTTGGCATCGGCCTGGTCCTCGGCCGCCTTGGCCTTCTTGGGTTTGCGCCGCTGTTCGCGCTTCCACTCCTCCTGGCTGGCCCACACCTTTTGCTTGGCCTCGGCTGCCTCGCCGTCGACCGTGTCGGCAACACCGCCTGGTGCGCCCTGGTCAAGGGGCCTGCGGACGACCTCGTCGACGACGCCGCGGACAAGCTCGCCCTGGATCCAGCCGCAAAGTTCGAGCTCGCGAGCGGCGCCACCGCGATTGAGCCACTGCAGCTTGCACCAGGTGTCGAGCAGCCTGGCGGCCCACGAGTCTTCCTTTGTGGACGTGTCGAGCTGGACGGCCTCGCCGGGCTGTGCCTCCCACTCGAGCTGGGCGTGTACGGCCTTGCCCTTGTCGAGGACGCGCTCCTTTTCCTCGAGGACGGCGAGCGAGGGCTGCAAGGTGGCGCCATCGGGCGTGGTGATGGCGGCGGGTCGCTGGGATGCGGGGAGGGTGGAGAGGGCGCCGATGACCGAGTATTGGTAGTTGTACTCGCACCACGAGGGCGAGGTGAGCTCGGTGACCGAGAGCTGGGTGGCCGGTCCAAGTGGCAAGGAGGGAGTAAGGAAGGCGAGCAGATAGGGGCAGGGCGAGGGCGTGGGCGAGGGCGTGAGTCAGCTTGCGAGGTGGGTGGAAGAGGGATGATCTGGAGGGAGCCAGTAGGGGCGAGCTGCGTTCCTAGGACTCACGTAGCCTTTGCGGCGGAAGTGATCCTGCAACGACGAGGGCGGGGACCACTTGCGTCCTCGGCGGGAGCGGGAGGGCTGGCTGGTCTGTGATTCGGCCTGGGACTCGGTCGGTGCTGCATGGGCTTTTGCGAGGGCATCTTGGGATTGCGAGGACGGCGGTGCAGGGACGGCGGTCGGGCCTTTGTCGACGACGAGTTCGATGGAGCGTTGTTGCGGCGTCGAGGTGGTGGCCATGGTGGCGGCGGTGGGCATCGAGTGGGAGTGGATGCGATTAGCCGGACCCGGAGCCGATGCCGGTGCAGGTGCAGGTGGTGCTGTCACAGTGTTTGCGCCGTTGTCGAGATGCAATTGGCGGGCCGACCGATGTTGGGCCGAATGGTTGGCGTGTCTGGCGAGTCATTGGAGAGCCTGGGACGATGCCCTCTTTGCTGGCCCGCGGTGGAGGAGGATATGAGGCATGGATGAGGTGGGGGGGGGTGTTGCTCTTGTGAGGTTGGATCGGGGCGTACAGAGGGGGGCAAAAGACTTGGCTGGTGGTGGTGGTGGTGGTGGTGGTGGAAGGTGTTGGTGTGGGTGGCAAACGCGCGCGCGAGTCGAGGCCAGGAGGCCAGGCCGACGCTGGGAATTGGCCTCCACACGCGAGCAGCCAGGCAGAGGCGGGGCGTGGCGGGGCGTTTGGCCTCTGTTTGGCCGCACAACCGCGGCGGCTGAGGCTGAGGCTGAAGGCTCGCGCTGGCCAAAGGGGAGCGGGCCAACTGCTTGCTTGGCTGAGCAGGCCATATGGCTTGCCCAACTGGGGCCAGCAACACGGCAACGACGAGGCTCCCCCCTCTCGCTTCATATCCGTTCAACAGGGCCTCGACAGATCACCAGTAGGTCGGACGATGCCACCATCCACTCATCCCTCGACGTGACCCTCGCAGCTCCTCGCCCGCCGCGGCTCAACTTGGATCGACAGAGAGCAGGGCGCAACCAGCCTCGCCCGCCACCCGTGACGACGAATGGCAGCCGCCAACCATCCCTTTGCCAAGCCAGCGACAACGCCCCAAGACTTCATCGTAACATCCCTTCAATGCCCCGACCGATCGCCGGTGAAGCGCCACCAACGACATCGCCTCCTCGTCCCGATTCGTCCCATCCCTTCCCTTCCCTTCCTCTGCCACTCACCGTCGGGCTCGTCGCCGCCCGGGATCCAGCATGCCTCGACCGAGCCAGAACCATTTCTTGCCCGAGAGTGATCCACATGGACAGGCCTCGGTCAACATGCCGCCCCTCGACCCGTGAACGCATCCCTGTGCCTCGATCGACGTCACGCTGTCCAGCTCTGTCTGTGTCTGCCAGGCGTCGTGGCTGGCCATGTCGTCGTCGTCTACAAAAGGCAGGGATCCAGCGATGTCAACCACCTCGCCACCACACAATCCTCACATCGTCGCTCACCCACTCTCGTCCCCTCTCTCACTCTCGTCCCCTCTCTCTTTCCCGCACGCTAGTCTCTTAACCACTCGATTCTCCGCCGCCGTCAGCCAGCCATGAAGTTCAACTCGCTCGTCTTCGCCGTCGCAGCGGCCTTCGCATCGGCCCAGCTCGGCCAGGCCGCCCTCATCATCTTCAACAACATCGAGAGCTTCGAAACCGTCTCGAGGCTCGTGGGCAGAGTGTAAGTCGCCAGAGGAGCGTCGGCCACGGCCACGAGGCTCGCGCCGTCTCTCATTGGCCGTCGACCAGCCCATGCTGACGTCCCAGCGGCCCTGCCACCCTGTACACGCGCTCGCCCCTCTTCCCTTTCTTGTCCATTTCACCCCGCCGCCACACGGCAGTCCGGGCATGCCGGGCCACAGCTTCGAGGCCAACCCCAACGGCGGGTTCATCATGCGCACGCACCAGCTCAACGACGTGTTCCCCAACCAGCTCATCCGCGCCCTCGAACGCAGGCAGATCCTGCACCAGGTCTACAACGAGGACGCCCACCTGCACGCCCACGGCCTGCCCTCGACGCCCGGCTACTCGGCCCACACGGGCGAATCGGGCGTGTCCGAGGAGGTCACGTCGAGGCGCAGGCAGACGCCCGGCTCCACCCCCTCGAGCCGCATGCGCGACCAGCAAGACTACGACTACGGCTACGCACCCGGATCCGTCGACCCCAATGGAAATGACCTGCTCAACCACTTTGACTACCATGCCGGCGGTCACAACCCGTGGGCCTAGGCCGCGAGCGCACGGCACGGCACGGCCTTTTTTTACCCGGTCCTTCATTCCGAGCAAGGCTCCGTTTGGCAGATCAGAGGTCGTCGCTTTCTTCTCCGTCCCTCGCCATCCCTTGGCAGATCAGAGGTCGTCGCTTTCTTCTCCGTCCCTCGCCATTCCTTGGCAGAGTTGAGCCGTTCCTGTCTGGCCAAGCTGTCCCTGCTCCGCTCAGCGTCCTTGCTTCATCAAAGCCGTCCACATTGCCTCTGACCGTCCCCCGTCCGCTTCAGGCAGCCATTTCCCTTCGCTCTCTCTCCGTCCACTAATCCCTTCTCGATCCAAGCACTCCTTTCCCCTCCCTCCTTGTCCGTTCTCTAATCACATTTCGATTCTTCCCGTTGCCATTGTCGTAGCGCCCCGCCCCTGAATACACTTTTTTTTTTACAAGATCCGGCGAGCAGCAGAACAACCACGCCTGCCACGAGGTGGCCCCACTCGAGCTTCGGGGCGTCGACTGCGGTCTCTACGCAGATCTTTTCCCTCGACTAGCTGCAGAGACCTGAAGAGCGGTCTGTAGGCTACATGGAAGGGGTATAAGACCTCGCTTGTGCGACATCGATCCACCGCGCCGTGGCATCTACACCACCTCGCTCTTCCATCCTTGCCATCCCTGTCTCCTCGCCCGTTCACGCAAACATGAGGTGGTACGGCCTCCTTTCTCGCTTCGCAGCGGCGATGCTGTTCCTCGCTCTGCAGACGCAGGCTGTACAAATCAGCATCGACGGCTCGCGTCTGGCCGAGTACATCCACGTCTTGAGCACGCTGTGAGTCGTCGGTGGGCAGCCGTGAGCCTGCATCCTCTCCGATCCATTCACACCAAAGAGAGGGGGCAAAGTCTCACCATGACCGACCGAACGACCTCCCCGTCGCACTTCACCCGCAGCTCCGAGTCGCACGCAGGTACGATGCCGGCGTACCGTTTCGGATCCTTGCCGGACGGAACTGCCTTTGTCAAGACCGCCGAGGGCGAGCGCGGATTCCCGCCCGTCGTCTACCGCACCCTGCGGGAATGGGAGCTGCGTTTCGAGGATATCTCGAAGCGTCGCGGCATGGCCTCGCCGTCGACCGCCAGCGTCGAGCAGGCGGAGCAGGCGGGATCTCACTTTGACGCCGTCGCCGAGCCCCAGCGTGGCGCTGCTCCGGCGCGATCGGGACTGCCTCCCCGTTCCCGTCCCCGTTCCCGAGCCGGTGCGAGCGGGAGCGAAAGTGCACCCGCTCCGCCCGACCTGATCTCGCCCATGGACCCGCGTCATCCCTGGAGAGGCAACTACGTCTCCCAGCCCACGGCGGCGCAGTATGACCGCGATGGCGAAGACCTGCTGCCCTACTTTGAGGAACAGGCGCGTGGTCGCAACTTCTAGATCGGCACCTCTCTTCCTCCCTCCCGACTTGGCGTGGGCCCAGATGCCCCGGCGGCGCTCAAAACGATGCTGATGAAACGACAAACGGCGCAGGGTGGGGCGGTCATTTCTTCATGGCGCTGTATCGTGTTCGTAGATGAGGAGAGGGGGCGGAGCAGAATGAAACCCATCGTGCTGCCAATGACCGTCAGCAAGCGTGCATCTTTTTGGCAGCCCACCGGTCGAGCTCCGGGGCGTCGTTGGGCCCAGCTTTCCGATGTGGTCCCTTCCCTCGCTCACAGTACGGCAGAGATGGACGTATGGTGCGAGATGATGGAAGGCCGCTCCCGTCCGGGGCGAGCGTACGTCCTCGGGGCTGTCGAGGTACAGCAGGGTGGGTCGATGGGGACTCGACACACGCAGTCGTTGATTGTCGACGCGGTGCTTGCAGGTAGCTCGCCTCCCCCTCTGCCTCGGTATCGTCTCACAACCCTCTCGTAGTGGACTCGGCTCGGTTCGCCATCTGACATTCCTCTTTTCCTCCCATCTTCGCCGCTCTCTTCCTCTTTGGCCCTCATCCCTCCGCTTTCTACCCTCGTCCGTCCGCACCTTCACACCTCCACCGTTCCACCGCTCCTCCTCTCCACCGCTCCTCCTCTTCCCTTCTCGAGCCGGTGCACCACTACCAGAGCATCCACGTCGCCCGTGTCCGCCGACCCATCCACATCAACCAAGTTGTGGTCAAGGACATGAAGCTCCTCCGCACCACGACCACAAATCGGGCGATGCGGGTGGCGTTGCTGCTCGCGCTGCTATCGAGCCACCTCCTCGTCGTCGTGTCGAGCCAGGAAGCCACAGGAGTCCGCGGCGCCTTTGCGCCCGTTTCGGCCTTCTTCGATAGGACGTGGAGGCGAATCGGCGGCAGCGCGCGAGTCGAAGGGGCTGCTGCTGTCCCCGAGTTCACAAAAGGCGTACCGCCGCGTGGCTCGTCTCGATGGCGTTGGACGCCCTTTCAATTGGCGAAGAAGACGTCGCGTGGTCAGCAACGAGAGGAGGTGCCTGTGAGAGCGGGTGTCGAGGCGATACCGGACAGCACCACCCCACAAGACCCCGCACACGGTCGTCGTTCGTCAGCCTGGAGACCGTCCTGGCTTCCCTGGCCGACAGCGGAGTCGAGGGCGCAGGAACGAGCGCGCTCCTCGTCGCTGCGCGTCTCGACCATCCTCGTCGCAACCGACGCCTCTGCAGACGCACAACGACGTCTCTTCCTCATCGACCGCGAACTTCAATCCCGCTCCGCCGACGCACAGGCCGGTACGAACCCGACGCTGCTGCAAAAGATGATGCGGTTCCAGGTGCTGGCGTCGCGGGGTCGAGTCAAGTTCCACTACGGCTCGCTGACACGGAGCGCCTTTGGCGGTCTGACCGCGTCGTGGCGCGTCATCGAAGAGGTGGACGCCATGTTCGAGCGAGGGCTGAGCAGCGTCAACGATCTCGCCGCGTTCCAGGGACGGCTGGACGAGGCGCGACTGCTCCTCGCCAAGACCATCTTCTCGCACAGCCTACTCCAGATGAAACTCGGTCAGCTCGACAGGCTCGCCCAGGCCGAGCCGGCCGCCGCGGCCCACCTGCTCGAGGCGAACAGCGGTGGCAATGGCGGCATCCATTACGTCACCGCTACGGTACGGGAGGCCGTCGGCGTCATCGACGCGCTCGAACGGGATCTGGCAGCACACCTCGAAGCGAGGTTCAAGCTGCTCGAGGCGTTTCGATCCAAGGCCGACTCGCTACGGCAGCCGAAAAGGCCGTGGTGGCGCCTCGGCAGGCGGCCTGGTCCCACGGCTGCCCGGATCAAGCTCGAGGATCTGGATCCGAGATACCTGGCTGACGCCTCCGCCATCGTCAAGGCAGGCGATGGCTCGGAAGACTTTCGACTGGGCACGTCGTTGCTGCTGCATCGGGAGTGGATCGTCGAAAGGCCAGCCACACGGGCCAGATAGCGGGTCGTGACTCGGTGAAGCCGGCAGAGGCCGAGTCGCTTCCGCACTTATTTTGGCCGGCAGTCATTTCTTTGCGGGCTAGGCCCCTCTACTTCCTTCTGAGCTCGTTACAGACCGCCTCGGTGACGTCGTCGGTGGTGCACTTGCCGCCGAGGTCGGGCGTGAAGATGGCCTGGTGGCAGATGCGCTCGATGGCGCGCATGAGGCGGGCGCTGGAGTCAGCCTCTCCGAGCCACTCGAGCATCATGGCAGCGGACCAGAATGCGCCGACGGGGTTGGCGGTGCCCTTTCCGGTGATGTCGAAGGCGGAGCCGTGGATGGGCTCAAACATGGACGGGTTGGCGCGCGTCGGGTCGAGGTTGGCGGTGGGTGCGATGCCGATGGAGCCGGCGAGGGCGGCGGCGAGGTCCGAGAGGATATCGGCGTGGAGGTTGGTGGCGACGACGGTGTCGATGGACTGCGGGTGCATCGTCATGCGGACCGTCATGGCGTCGACGAGCATGCGGTCCATGTGGACGTCGGGGAAGTCGCGCGACACCTCGAGGGCGACGTCGTCCCACATGACGAGGCCGTAGCGCTGGGCGTTGCTCTTTGTGACGACGGTGAGCGTCTTGCGCGGTCGGGAGCGGGCCGTGGCAAAGGCGTGGCGCATGATGCGGCGGACGGCGGTGCGGGTGAATACGGACACCTCGGTGGCGACCTCGTGGTCGTGGCCCGAGTGGGAGCGGCCGCCGTGCCCGGCGTACTCGCCCTCGGAGTTTTCGCGGATGATGACCCAGTCGAGGTGCGAGGGCGCCGTGACGCTGCGGAGGGGCGACGAGATGCCCGGGATGAGGCGGGTGGGGCGCACGTTTGCATACTGCTGCAGCGGCTGGCAGATTGCGAGGCGGAGGCCCCAGAGCGAGATGTGGTCCGGCACGTCTGGTGCGCCGACGGAGCCGAAGCTGGGTGGGGCGGCGGGGGAACGAGGAAAGGAGGGCAAGGTCAGTTTGGATGGAAATGGAAGAGGCAGGAAGGAAGGCGTTAAAGGAGCGCGCACAAGATTGCATCAAATTGGCGGAGCGTGTCGAGGCCGTCTTGTGGGAGGAAGCGGCCGGTGCGCTTGTAGAGGTCGGATCCCCAGTCGAAATCGACGAAGTCGAGGTCGAGGGTGCCGGCCGAGGTGTGTGCGAGGGTGTGGAGCACCTTTACGCCTGCTTGGATGACTTCGGGGCCGATTCCGTCGCCGCCGATGGTGGCGATGCGGTGGCGTGTTCCCGGGCGCACGGCCGAGGGGTCGACGGGCATCGAGGGCGTCGGTGCGGATGCGGGTGCGGGAGGTTGTGCTTGGGTGTCCGACATGGTGGTGGTAATGGTGGTGGTAGAGATGGCGATGGCAGTGACCGGGGGCTGAAGAGTGGAGCCGAGATGGTGGTGAGAGGGTGCAAAGGCCAAAGACGAGACAACAGAGGAAGGAGCCCAGACGGGGACAGCGAGCCAAAGGACAGGCAGGACAGAGTGCGGGGTGCATAAACCGCCGACGTGGGCGTCGGTCAATTGCCCGCGGCCGCGGCACCCTGCAGGAGGGCACAACAGGCATCACAAGGCCAAATTGGCCGAGTCTTGTTTGCGCGGTCTGTGCGTCGGTCCCCCCCACCCCCTCGATTGCCCCCACGCTGAACCTCGTGGACCGCGGCTTTGCGGAGCGACCACCACCACCACCACTACCGCCACTACTACCGCCACCGCCTGCCACCTTCCGCTCGGCTTTCGACGTCGCACACGCTGCCGCAAACAGTATGGCACCATCACCATCTCGATCCACCGCAGAGCACATCCAGTCCTTCCTGCTCCGACACCACTCGCAGCGTGCCCAGCGCGGCATCCACACCCCCCTCATCGTCGGCCTACAGGGCCCGCAGGGTTCAGGTGAGCATCTCCGCCGCCTCGCCCTGCGCCACCATCCATCAGCTCCCTAGCTGAGACCACCCCCTCCCCCTTTTCGCCGCTCACCCTCGGACCACCTCCACCAGGCAAGACGACAGTCACGCGCAACCTCGTCGACCTCCTCGCCACACCGCCCCACAGCCTCCGCACCGCCGCACTCTCCATCGACGACTTCTATCTCACCCACGCAGAGCTAGACGCGCTCGCACGCGACAACCCCAACAACCCCTTGCTCCACGGGCGAGGCCAGCCGGGAACCCACGACGTCGACCTCCTCGCACGCACCCTGGCATCGCTCGCACAGGGCCAACCAGTCGACGCTCCCACCTTTGACAAGAGCCTCTTCAACGGCCAGGGAGACCGCTCAAAACAGACGATACCCATCCCGCCCAACCAGGACATCGTGCTGCTGGAAGGGTGGTGCCTCGGCTTCCGACCCCGCGACCAGGATGACCTGCTCGCTCACGTCGACGCAGCCCGTCGCAGCAAGGTCGCAGCATCCTCCTCGCCGCCGCCCTACTTTCTCCGACACTCGGACGACAACCTCGTCGAGATCAACCGCCACCTCGCGCGCTACGAGCACCAGTTCTACGACAAGATCGACGTCATGATCCGCATCCTGCCCGACTCGCTCGACAATGTCTTCCGCTGGAGGCTCCAGGCCGAGCACCAGATGAAGGCCCACAACGGCGGCAGGGGCATGACCGACCAAGAAGTCACGACATTCATCCAGAGGTGCGTCCGGTGGTCAGGTCCCGCCCCTTCCCTTTGACCGCTTCCCCCCTGTCGATCCGATGCTGACTCCTCCTCCTCCTCCTCGACCTCGCGCCCTGCTGCAGGTACATGCCCGGCTACGAGCTTTGGGGGCAGAGCACCGAGCGCAACCTCGAGCTCTGGTCCGGCAGAGGGTTGCAGATCTCGCTCGATGTGCAGCGGCAGGTGACTGGCGTCCAGGACTTCTAGCGGCGTCGCTTGCAGGCAGGCAGGCAGGCAACATGGAACACGGGAACCAAGTCTATGATTGCAAAGCGAGAACGATACGAGGTACGAGGCACGAGGCTGGAGCGTGCCAGCCCACCTATATGGCCGCGGCGGTGAGCGACACGGCCGAGGGTGGCAGAGCGACCTGGCAGGCGACGGGCACGACGGCGGCCGCCGCCTTGCTCTTGAGGTCCATGTGGCGTGCGAGGTCGAGGAGGCGGGTGGCGTAGCCCGTCTCGTTGTCGTACCACGCGATGATCTTGTACCAGTTGTCGCCGAGGCGGCACGACGCGTCGGCGTCGGCGATGCAGCTCTCCTGGCGACCGATAAAGTCGGACGAGACGAGGGCGAGGTCGGTGCTGGCGAAGACGGTGGCGAGGGCCGGGTCGGAGGCGGCGAGGCGGTCGAGGTTGCGCATCATTTCCTCCTTGGACGGGCAGGGGCGGCTCAGCTGGACGGTGAGGTCAATCATGCTGACGTTGCACACGGGCACGCGAATCGAGATGCCGTGCAGCCTTCCCTCGGTCCAGGGCAGCACCTTGGAGAGGGCCTTGGCGGCGCCCGTCGAGGTGGGTATGATGTTGGCGCTGGCGCAGCGGCCGGAGCGCCAGTCGGTGCGCTTGCTGCTGAAGCCGTCGAGCACCTTTTGCGACGCCGTCGAGGCGTGCACCGTCGACATCATGCCCTGGTCGACGCCGTAGAGGCGCTCCAGCATGTGCACCAGCGGCGCCAGCGCGTTGGTCGTGCAGCTGGCGTTGCTCACGATGCGGTCGGCGTCGGCGTCGAAATCGCCGTGGTTGACGCCGTACACGAATGTGCGCGCGTCCGACGAGGGCGCAGAGATGATGACGTACCGCGGCGGTGACGGCGGCGGCGGCGGCATCGGCGTCGATAGTGAAGTGACTGCGGTCGAAGCGGAGCCAGTCGAGGCGGCCACCGTGGTGGGTTTGGGAGCGAGGTGGGCAGAAGCGGCCTCCTTTGTCTTCAGCTTTCCCGTGCACTCGAGGACGATGTCGACGCGAGCCGCCGACCAATCGAGCTTGGTCGCGTCCCTCTGGCTGAACAGGAGCGCCTTGGCCAGCACGGTCCTCTCGGCGCCGCTGGAGGGCGAGTAGACGACGAGGTACTGCTTCCGTCTTCCTTGCTCGTCGGCGTCGTCGAGGATGTCCATGCACCCGGCGTACTTTGATGTGCCGTGGGTGGTGTCGTAGGTGAGGGCGTGGATGAGGTACGCGGCGTCGTCGCACGTATGGTTGATGGCGACGATGTCGACGTCGGTGCGCTCGAGCGAGGAGCGGAATGCCGAGCGACCTGCAACAGCACGCGGCGAGGCGGAGCGAGGGTGGTGCGATGTGGTGCGTCAGCGGACGAGGGCGAGGACGACGTGGGAGGCATGGCATGACATGGAGACAGGGAGGAATGATCACGTACCGATGCGCCCGAATCCGTTGATGCCGAGACGGACTGTCATGGTCGTGTGCGATGCTGGTGCGGCGGTGAAGGGCGTCTGAGCGATTGCAAGTACGCTGGTTACTGGCTGCTGGCTGGTGACTGATGGCAGATGATGCTACTGCGTTGCGGATCGACCAGGAACATGACGGCAAGACGATCGAGGAGCGTATATATCCTCGCGGCCGCGTCTCGACGCTACGTCGACCCGCCGTCCCTCCGAAGAGGTCCGATGCACCAGGCAGCAGGCGGCAGTAGCCGCTTCCATCCTACCCGGCCTCATAGCGTCCGTATCCATCGATCGTGGCTGAGCGGGCGTATGAACGCGGAGGAGAGGGTGTGAACGAGGCACCGAGGTATGGGTGGAAGAAGGATGGCGGAAGAAGGATGACGGGCGGGCGGCAGTCTTCGGAAATCGATCCGCAGCGGACAGCGGGCGGAGGGAAGTGCGGAAGTGCGGACCTCTCCTGCGCGCCCGCCGACGCGGCGCCTGTCATTCGGCACGGAAAGATCCGCACCGCTCCCCGCTCGGTCGGTGTGGTGCTGCCCCCCGCTACGGATCAACGTTTGACACCTCCCCTGACCACCTCGCTCCTCATCAGGCGGGCTCAGTTTGTTCCGCATCGATCCGCTTGCCCCGACATCGTATCGTGGTCCTGACGATGCCGTATCGATGTCATGACTGGCGCACCGTATGTCGTCGAATAAGACCCGCGCGGCCCCCACGTCGTTGCCACGTGGCCTTGGACGGATTCATGCATGCTCCGGATGCCAACGCATGCCGCAGCCCGAAGACGCAGCGGGACACCGGAAGAAAGTTGGAAAAATGGCCACCAGAGAAAGGCTGACCCGGACGTAACTACGGCCTTGATACGACCGACCGAGACCAGCCGCTTCGCTGTCTTCTTCACTCCGAATACCGGTCTTGCTCCCTGCTCGCGTCTCCTCGGGGCGGCCTGGCAGGCACATTGGCTTGCAAGATGCGCGGCGGGCAAGGGTATGGCAGCGTAGGGCAGCGCCCGACCGCGCAGAGACGTTGACAGACAAGCGCTGCCCGCGCGTGCGCAGATGGGAACGAGATCGATTCAGACCAAGCAAGAGGCTAGAACTAGGGTGGAGGTGACGGCAACAAGACGACAAAGGGGCAGGAGAAGGTTGTATCGCCGCCACCCTCTCGAGGCGAGGCATGTCGTGGTTGGGTTGCTCGCTCCAGCAGGCGTACCAAACGCCAGCCAAGATAGTTGGGGGTTTGAGCTCCGGCAGTGTCGGAGAGGTGTCAAGGGCAGCCCGAGGGCGCTGGAAATAATGGCCGATGGCACTCGTTGCGTGGCCCAGTTGGTAGAAACAGTCGGGCCAGACTGGTTGGCGCACCCCAACGGCAGGAAGGCCAACTCTGGATCAACCGAGCTGCAACACCGCGCGCTGGAAGTCGCGACTGACTGAGCCGGACCGGAAAGTCGCAGCTATGGCAGGGATTGCCAGCAAATTTATGGGTAGTCGTAGCAAAGGCGGACCGACGCGCGGCAGACGGGCGGGCGGGTAGAAGAAAAGAACGGCGTTGCTTCGGAACTCTGAAAAGCTCGCCGGTCAAGGGATCGTCCCGGTCGAGCTGCCCAAAAAACGTCTAGAGGGCGAGGTACAGGAAGCGTTCCGAAGCTACGGTGGAGTCCGGAAGAAGAGACGGGCGACAACCAAAAACCAAAGGGAAACAATCTGAGAAGGTACGCAGCCAACGGAACCATTTCGTAGCCAGAGGCTCGACGGACGAGCGGCGCCCGGCACTCGCGACAGACCAGCTGCACAAGCGCCAAGGTGCCCCCCATACGACTGAGATCGACCGAAGTCGGAGGGATGGTGGATAGACTCCGGTGTCGGAGAATCAGGCGCAGTAGATGTCGCTCGTCTTTTTGTCAAACGAGCAGTTGCCCTGGGTGATGGTGGCAAGGTTGATGTAGCCGCCGTCGCCCTGCGAGTTGAAGTGGTTGTCGGGGCCCCACATGTAGAAGCAGTCGTAGCTGTCATAGACCCGGGCCGCAGAGCAGAGCGGTATGGTCAGCACGAGGAAATCAACATCCGTGCCCCGAGACGAGGGCGGTGACGACGGCGGCGACGACGGCGGCGACGACGGCGGCGACGACGGCGGCTACTCACTCGGTGTTAAGGTTGCCAAGACGGAACTCAACACTGGTGACGGGCGTCATCTGGCTGGGCCTGGAGACACGGTAGGCCATGTTGTAGCACACGGCGGCGCGGGCGTTGCGGGGCCTCCTGGCCCACATGGCCGCGACGGTGTTCTTGGTGAACCTCTCGCGGGCCTGCAACACACGGAGGCAGCAACGGCGGCGGCAGCGACCAGGATTGTCAGCGCTCGTGTCTCCCTTGGCTCTGTTGATAGCCGTCTCGTTCACCGCCCGGCACGCAACACTTACCGAGTTCCACTGGCCGAGGCCGCCGAGAGTCTTGAACGCCTGAGCGATGGCCTCGGCGACAGCGGCATTGCCGACCTGCTTGATGATGTACTTGGCCGCCACGCCGGCCACGGCGCCCGCGGCGCGGCTCTCCAGGGTGTGGTCGTCGGCCTGGTCAGGGATAGCGGCGAAGTTCTCCAGGGTGTTGCCGTCGGCCCGGGCAGCGACCAGGGTGTTGCCGTCGGCCTGGGCAGGGACAGCGGCGGCGTTGGCCATTCCGGTGACGGCGAAGGCGATGGCGAGGCTCGAGGCGCTGAAGAACTTCATCTTGGGCTTGGAAGAGTTGGGTGGATTGGGCGAGGAGGGCCTTGCGAGGTTTTCTGAGGAGCGTGTATGGAAGAGAGAGCTGGAGATCGCTGAGGAGTGATTGGATGGTTGATGGATGGTGAGGGATTGGTGGCTGAGACCGGCCCTCTTTATAGACGTCGACGACCAAGGTCATGTCGATGGCGAGGCACCCCACCTACCTGAGCCCAGCAGCAAGCGCATCGACGGATGCCGATGGCGAGACATCCGACCTACCTGAGCCCAGCAGCAAGCGCTGCGACGGAGAGCTCGACGCGAAGGCAGCAGAGACGAATGCGCAGCAACGACGACGGCGCCCTCACCGACAAAGACAGCCCCTGAGGCCGGAGAGTGGTCTCGACCGTATCGAGGACCTCAGCGGCCAGCTTCGTTCTCCTGGCTCGCCAGTGAAGGCATGCTGGTTTGCAATGTCAGTCGTTCCGTAGGGTCGGCGAAGTCACGTACCAGCTTCCTCGAACTCGACACTTTCCTGTTGCTCACGCTTGCTTGCACTTCGGAAGCCCGTGGCGTACGGCGTCGCTCCTGCGACGACTGTCCATAGAGGCTCTTTGCGCGAGGTTGTCGTGGCGTTCGGCGCCAAGATGTCGTTTGGACAAGTCATCTCCGCAAACTGACGGTGTCGCGCCCCCGTGGAAGTGTGTATTACTGAGCCTTGGTCGGAATCCGATCCGTTACGCCCCATGGCTCGCCGCTGACGTACCTCTCGAGGAGCCATCAAAGGTTCTGGCGTTCTTCATCACGGCGAGGAGATGTGTCGATGTCGTATCGAAGCCGGGGAAGCATGCCAGGCGTTGGTCGGTCGGGCGTCGGTCCAGGCGCACAGGTGCGTAGAGTAGGTATCTGCGGCGGCTCCGGCTTCATCGTCGCTACAAAGTGATGCCGTAGCAATGTCGGCGAGGTGTAGGGCCCAGACATCGACTTCCGCCCGAACGACAATCCAGGCGGCCAAGCCTTTTGCATCGTACAGTCAAAGCTGTCTATAAGCGCGCCACCCTATAAGCACACTTCTGCATTAGCACACCTTTTCGAAGAAACAGGAAATCTTCCGCCGATATTTGCTCTTGTCAGACACATTCAATTATAAGCATCCTAATTGATGCTGATTCTTAGAACTGACCTCGTTTCGTCGGCCAGCAGCAGCAGGACTGGTGCTTGTTTTGCTAGCCAGCATATGATCTGACGAGGTAGGAGGGCGTCCATTTGGCCGCTAAAAATGCGTATTATTGGCCAAAGAGCAAACTTTCAGTAAGGCGCTAGCGACCAAGCCCATCATATCTGTTCGAAGAAACAGAGTTCGCCCCTATAGGGAGCTTTGACTGTACGTACCAAGATCGACCGCCCTTGCATTGATTGTCTCTGAGGGCGCACGGTAGTGCGGATGTCAGTGACGGCGGCTATCGTACAACGGTACGAAGGGGCGGATGGATGCGATCAAGATTAGGGTTAGGGTCATGACCCTGACTCCCCTCGGGCCGCGTACTTCTTGTTAATTAAAAACTGGCTGCCGAACCGAACCGTTCGGGCGCCAAGACGCCACTCAGCCGCCGAGACGCCTCTGGCCAAATCAAGCCAGGCCAGGCCAGGCAGGCAGGCCGGGATCGGTCTAGAACCTTAGGTTCCATCTTTAGCCGCCGTCGCGTGGCCGCAATGGCCTGCCTGGCCTGCCAGGCCACGCCGAGTAACATATATACGTACGTGCCTAGAGCCTTGCCAAGCTGGACAAGAGGGGCACTGCACTTCCCTTGGCGCCGAAACACCCCCACCACCCCGGGCGTACGCCAGGGGTACATTTGCGCCTGCGAGTACGAGCCGCCCGCATCGTCGTCTCGAATCAGTTGCGTACTGTGCAGCCACAAGTGGGTCCGCAAGAGAAGGCTGGTCCGGACGTACGGCCCCTCGTACGCCCGACAGGAGCTAGCCGCTCCGCTCCCTTCTTTCCGCCGAGTACCGGTCTCGCTGCCTGCTCGTGTCTCTTCACATCACCCAAAGGCAAGGCACAGAGAACATTCCCAAAGCTGGTTAGAGGCGACAGAAGGGACGGGCGATGAAGACAACATGAAGATTCAAGAAAGATCGAAGAGGGCGCTGCAGTCAAACAGGGTCGCGCGTCGTGGCCAGAGTCGAGACTCGTCCGACGAGCGGCACCCGGCGCCTGCGCCAGACCGGCTGCGCACAAGCTTACGAGGTGGGCCCGTACGACTCGGGTCGTCCGAGGCCGGAAGGACATGGACCGACTCAGGCGCAGTAGACGTCGCTCGTCTTGCCGTCAAACGAGCAGTTGCCCTGGGTGATGGTGGCGAGGTTGATGTAGCCGCCGTCGCCCTGCGAGTTGAAGTGGTTGTCGGGGCCCCACATGTAGAAGCAGTCGTAGCTGTCGCGTGCCGGTGTGCAAAGTAGAGCGGTATGGTCAGCACGATGGACTCAATGCCCGTGACCGAGACGATGACGGCGGCGGCGTCTACTCACTCGGTGTGAAGGCTGCCGAGAGAGAACTCGACCTTGGTGGCGGGCGTCATCTCGTTGGTGTTCGAGACGGTGTAGCCCATGTTGTAGCACACGGCGGCATGGGCCTGACTCGGCCTCCTGTCCCACATCGCCTGGACAGTGTTCTTGGTGAACGTCTCGCGGGCCTACAGCACACGGCGGCGGCAGCGACGAAGGTGTCAGCGACGAGCGTCAGCGACGAAGGCGTCAGCGCCCACAATTCCCTTGGGTCTGTTTGTGGACCATCGCAACCACCGCGCGCAACACGTACCTGGTCCCACTTGCCAATGCTGCCGAGGGTCTTGAACGCCTCAGAGATGGACTCGGCGACAGCGGCGCTGCCGATGGCCTTGAAGATGAACTTGGCAGCCGCGCCGGCCGCAGCGCGGCTCTCGAGGGCGTTGCCGTCGGCCTGGCCAGCCTGGGCGGGGATAGCGGCGGCGTTGGCCATTCCGGCAACGGCGAAGGCGACGGCGAGGCTCGAGGCGCTGAAGAACTTCATCTTGGAGTTTTTTGAGAGAGTAGGGTGGATTGGGCGAGACGGGCCTGGCGAGGTGTTCCTGGGGAGCGTGTGGGGATGAGATGGATAGCGCTGCGGAGTGGTTTGGTGGCTGATGGATGTCGAGGGGAGGAGAAGGTTGAGAGCGCCTCTCTTTATAGACGTCGACGATCGAGGTCAAGACGATGGCAAAGCACCGGACCTGTCGACAGCGAGCGCTTCGACTGTCCACTCAGACCATCGAGATCTCGCTGGGATCATCAAGGCGGCCAGAGGCATGTACGCAGCAACGACGGCGGCGCCCGCACCAACAACGACAGCCTCTCTGCGGCTGCAGGGTGATCGCGTCCATATCGACGACCTCAGCGGTCAGCTTTGCTCCGCCGGCCCACGACTCCAAGAGTGACGGCATGCCGTTTGCCATGCCAGTCGCATCGTAAGGTCGACCTGGTCGGACGTACCACCTTTCTCGAACGCACACGTCCCTGTTCCTGACGGCCGGTGGCGCTCCCAGTGCTGGTGGTGCACGGCCTCGCCGCTGCGACGACCGCTCATTGAAGCGCTCCGCACGAGCATTGTCGTGGCGCCGGGCCAAGGTGTCGTTGGGACGTGTTGGCTGCGCCGACTGACGTTGCCATGCCCGTGAAACTATCTTTGAGCATGGCGGGAGCCCATTGGTGACGCTCCGTGCCCCGTGGCTGACGTCTAGGTCGAGGAGCCAGTATTGTCCTGCGAGGCGAGGCGGTCTGTCGAAGGTGGATCGGAGCCGGGCAGCATGGCTTGTAGAGTCCGGTCGAGCTTCGCTCCAGGCCGACAGGTATCTGCAGCGACTGCGGCTTCATCATCGCTGCAAAGCGATGCCGTAGCAACGTATGTTCAAAGGAGCGTCGCCGATGTGTGGGGCCGAAACATCGACCTTTGCGCGAACTGACAATCGAGGCAGCCAAGCCCGTTTGCCTCGTACGTACCAGGGTCGACCGCCCTTCCATTGTGACTGTGATTGAGGGCAAACAGTGCCGATGTCAATGGCGGCAGCGGCTATCGCATGTAGAGGGTACGAAGGCGGCGGTCGTCGTGACGGCAGCGGCGGTGGCGGTGGCCACGACGCGGATTATTCCCCGCGGTTGGCGCAGACCAAAGCTGAAACGCGAACCGAACCGTTCGAGGCGGGGCGCGACTCAGCCGCCGGGAGGCGATGTCACAACGTATGTAACCCCGTCTCTTCTAGGAGATGGTGGTGTGAAAGCTGGATTGCCAAATGCGGAGGTGGGCTCGGGAGACCCCTAATTGAGGTCTGCCCGCTTAGTCAGCGCTGGGGCAATGCCTCGGAGCCGACAGCGTGACAGCCGACGGCCCTGGCCGGGATCGGGTCCTTAGCTTCTTCTTCATCCGCCGTCGTGCAGCGGGCGGTCGGTCGGGCGGGCGAGCGCGGTTGCGTGGCCAGGCCCGCCCGCCACGCCCGCGTATACGTACCGGCCTGTACGTACGTACTTCGGGCCTGCCAACCTGCACAAACGGGCGGGCTGCGCCTCTCTTCTCGCCGAGACATGGCCCCGGCGTGCGCCGAAAATACGTTTTGCCTGCGAATGGGTACGGAGCCGCATTGTCGTCTTGAACGCGTTGCGTACGACCCCACGTGGGCCGAACACGGTGTAGGACGGTGCGATTTGGACGGCCCCAATGGGTTGTGTCCAGCACGTTCCGATGCCCTCGCGTGGCCGGGGCGTACCGGGGCTCCTTTGCCCTCCCTCCTCGTGGCCGTTCTGTCTGATACGAGTCGATGGTCCGACGAAGGTGCTCTACTGAACGCCCCGCGGGGAGCAGGGCAGCAAAGTCGGGAGGGGGGCAAGGCGAGGTGACTCGCCACCACATCGACCGCGCTCCAAAATTGCCGGTCACGCCCGCACGAGCGCGATGCCAACCAACGGCTGTTCAGCTTCGCGACCGGCTGCCTCGCACCGTGAGCAGAGCACTAGTGCCGCGAAAGCTCGTGGGCCCCCGGGCGAGCTTCCTCTGCGCCCGAGCGGGCCACCATCCGCTGCACACCGAGCCTCGACGAGAGCGTGATCTCTGTTCGTAAGACTGCAGTCGTGTCAGAGCCCAAAGGCCACTTTTCGTCCAAGGACCTGCGGCGTCCGATGGCACTCGTGACTCGCGCCATCAGCTTGACATGCCGTCACGTACTTGCCCTTGCTCAAGACATGATTGCGACTCGTGGGCCACCATCCTCCCTCGAGAGCGATGGCCGGAGCTGGCGGCGCAGCGAATCAGCAGGAGCGCCACCGGCACGTGCGTCGCGCATCGCCGACGTCCAGGAACACGCCGCAAGACCATCACGTACTTGGCCGCTACAGAACCTCCCACCTCTGATTGCGAGGTAGAGGGAGAGGTATGGTGCGGCTGGCGCCATCGTAGCCGTCCGCGCCCGCGCCGGCGGGAAGGAAGATCGAACATCAGGGTGTCGGACGGGCGGGCGCGCTTCTGATTGGCCGTCACGATGGGGACTGACGAAGCTCGGGCGCAGTACAGAGGAGATGGCGCGCGCCTCGCCGAGCGGCTGTAGAGCAAGCCGAGGCGCCGGCCATCCTCACTTGCAGTGCAGGTCGGCCTTCTCGTCAAAATGACAGTCTGCCGTGTACCGGAGGGCGAGATTGACGTACCCGCCATCGTTGTACGTCCAAAAATCGTTGGGACCGCCCATGTAGAAGCAGGTGTACCTGTGTGGCGTGCCATGCCGTGCAACGTTGGCAGCAAGCGGCGAGATGACGAAGCGGTCAGGAACCGCGGCCAAGCTTCGCGGGAGCGGGCGCGGCAGCGGAGCGAGACTCACGTGAAGTCGTCGCCGGTGCTGCACCTGAACTTGATGATGGAACTCTGCCACACGAGGTCAGGGTGCGAGAAGCCAAAGTCGCCGTGGTAGCAGACGGCGGCCTTTGCGCCTCTTGGCATCGTCTTGGCCATCTCGTACACCGAGGCCTTTGTAAACTCCTTTCTGCCCTAAGATGGCGCGGGGAACCGGGGGACGGAAGGGCCGATAGGAGGGCGTGCACGGTCGAAGAAAGAGGAGCAGGATCAGTGGATGCCTGTCCCTATCCTGCTATCGAGCTGACCCATCCTCATCGAGCAACAACGACGCCCGCCAATCGCGCACGACTCACGCTGTTCCAGGTAGCTTGCGGGCTGACTGAATCGGCAGCTGCCCGGACGGCGGCCACGATGGTGGCGGAACACGTCTCGCCCTGTTTGCAGTCGGCGTACCACTCGTTGTCGCGCCAGATCTGTCGTCGCTCGGGCTTGGCGTGCGCACGCCGAGGCGTCGCCGCCTCCGACGCGTCCGGAGCGCCGACCAGGATCAGACCCAGGCTGAGCGCGACGCCGATGTTGAGGACGTCGAACTTCATCTTGGTCTATGGCCGGTATTGCAAGCTGGGGACGTGGTGCTGCCTGCTGCGGTGGATTGAAGGTGGGGAGATGGCAAGGCGGGAGTGTTGGCTTGTCATGAGGCTGGGAGGGTGCGATAGACGGGCCTTATATCCCCATCGTGGCCCGTCGAGAATCCTGCAGAGAGAGAGAGATCGCTGCTCACATCCACCAAGGTCGTACAGGCTCACCTTGCGGCTACAGCATCGACAGTGTCACCGAGCTCGTTATCCTGGCAGGTCCCGAGGCATGGCAAACGAGGTTGTCGCGCGCCAGCCAGGTGAGGACGTGGCGGCGACCAGCCAAGCTTGGCGTGCGCCCAGTGGGACCGAGCCCCACCTCGTTCCGACGAGCAACGCGCCCGCAACGCCTCATTCGGGGCAGCGAGGCGGGCGTCGACCCCGCCCACATCCTACCGTCCTCGCCTTTCTCGGTCGCAAGGCGTGGGGGCCATGCAGGGCACAAAGGGCGTTGAATCGAAAGGCGGTAGGGAGGTGACTCCACTCGAGCCAGGCAGGTCAGGTTGGATAAGAAGCGAGAAGGGCGACGTCCTCCAATCCATCGAGCCGCCCCTTGTCGTCACCACCGCCCACACACCCTCAAATGAGGATGTGGGTGGGTTCCGACAAGGAGGGCCCGCAGGACGAGGACCGTCGCGGTTGGAATTTCCCCATTGTTCCAAGGACCGAAGCCGATGACACTGCTACGAGAGGGTGGGTATGGCGAGAAGAGCGAGGGGGGAGTGCGGGGGCGAGGAAAGAGTGGACGAGCACATGTATCGCTCTAATTGGAGGGAGTTCGAAAGGGCGAGGGAGAAGGGCCGCGATGGGCGAGAGCGTGGACTCGAGCAGGATCCTCGAAGGCGGAGAGGGGGGGAAGAGGGTGGTCGGCCGAAAATCTACTGCTGAGGGTTGAGGAGCTGGCTGAGCTGGCCGCCGGTGCCCGAGTTGTTCGAGAGCTGCGGGCCGCCCGAGGTGAACGACTTGCCGTCGCCGGTGACGAAGCCGCCGTTGTTCTGGAAGTCGGCCGAGTTGCCGCCGACGGCGTTGGCGGCGCCGTTCTGGCCCTGGAAGATGCCGCGGCGGTCGACCTTGGCGGTGCGGCTGACCTGGACGCGGTCGTGGCTGAACTCGCGCAGCGTGACGAGGTGGTCGCGGTCGTGGGTGAACTCGTGCGTCACCTCGACGCCGCGGCGCGCCTGGCCGACGTTGTTGGACTGCGTCTCCTTGTTGGCCTGGCCCGACTTCTGGCTGTTGGCCTGGTTGCTCTCCGACTTCTGCGACACGGAGCCGGCCTTGGCGCTGGTGTCAATCACCTGGGGCGCGTACTTGAACTCGGGCTCGTGGGTCCAGAACCACTTGCGGTCGGCGTCGACGTCGACGACGTTGACGTCGCCGGCCTTGGCGTCGCTCGAGGCGGCCTGGGTCGTCGACTGGCTGGAGCCCTGCGAGGTGCCCTGGACCTCGCGGCGCCAGTAAGGCGCGTAGGCGGCGTTGTTCTGCTGCGTCGACGAGAGGCCCTGGGTGCCGCTCTGCGAGCCCTGCTGCTCCGAGGCGGACCCCTGCTGAACGGCACCGCCCTGGGCGGCCGTCTTGACGTAGACGGGGCCGTTGGCGCCGGCGACAAAGGCGTTGCCACCGGAGGCGGCGGCCGAGCCGTACTGGCCGGTGCCCTGGCCGATGCCCTGGCCCTGGCCCTGGACGGCGCGGCGGAAGTAGGGGCGGGCGGCAAAGTTGTTCTGGGCCGAGTAGCTGGCATCCTGGGTGGCCGACTGGCCGGCGGCCTGCTTGCTGCCAGAGGTCTGTCCGACGTAGCCGCCGCGGGCGCTGCCGTCGAGGGCGACGGGGCCGTTGGCGCCGACGACGTAGGCGTTGCCGCCGCGAGCGTTGGAGTCGGCGAACTGCTGAGTGCCCTGGCCGACGCCCTGGCCCTGGCCCTGGACGTCGCGGCCGAGGAGCTGCTCGAGCGACTGGCTGATGCTCCCTCCCTGGCCGTTGTTGGTGGCGCCCTGGGCACCGCCGGTGGTGACGCTGTTGCCGTAGCCCGAGACGACGGGTCGGTTGGACTGGAACTGCGACGAGTAGCCGCCCTGGCCGTTGGCGCTGGCGCCCTGGGCACCGTAGGCACCGGGAGCACCGCCCGAGGGAGCGCCGCCGCCGAAGAAGCCGCCGAGCTGACGCTTCTGGGCGCCGAGCTTCTGGAGGAGCTCCTGGCCGACGTTGCCGCCCTTGGCGCTGTTCTCGGCACCCTGGGCACCGCCGGAAGTGAGCGAGTTGCCGGCACCGCTCAGGACGGGGCGGTTCGACTGACCCTGCTTGCTGAGGCCGCCAAAGGCGTCGGCGCTACCGAACTGACCGCCCTGGGCGAATCCACCGCCGGGGCCAGCGGGGGCGCCACCGCCAGCAGCGGGAGCACCGCCGGCGAAGCCGAGCATCGTGCCGAGGCCGCGCGAGGTGAGCTGCTGGAGAAGCTTCTGGGTGATCTGGCCACCCTGGCCGTTGTTCTGCGAGCCCTGCTGACCGCCCGTGGTGATCGAGTTGCCGGCACCGCTGACGACGGGGACGTTGGACTGGCCCTGGGCCGACTGGCCGCCGAAGCCGTCGGCCGAGGCACCCTGCTTGCCGGCGGCAAAGAGGCGCTTCTGGATGAGCTGCTCGAGCGACTGGGTGATGGTGCCGCCGATGCCGTTGTTCTCGGCGCCCTGAGCGCCGCCGGTGGTGATCGAGTTGCCGGCGCCGCTGACGACAGGGTGGTTGGACTGGCCCTGGTGCGAGGCGCCGCCCTGGCCGTTGGCCGAGGCGCCCTGGGAGCCGAAGGCGGCACCGCCGGGGCCGCCGCGCTTGGCGACGTAGGCGTTCTGGAGGCCGGCCTGGACGCCGACGTCGGGCTTGTTGACAATCTTGGTGCTGTCGATGTCGATGTCGTTCTTGCGCTGGTCAACGTCGACGTCGATGTTCTTCTCGCGGTGGTCGACGTCGACGTCGAACTTCTTCGAGTTGTCGACGTCGATGTCAAACTTCTTGGACTGGTCGACGTCGAAGCGGTTGGAGCTGTAGGCGTTCTGCTTGTTGTTCTGGTCGACGTTGGACGTCTGGATCGAGGGCGAGTTGGACGTCTGGTTCGTGGCCTGGGTGTTGACCTGTCCGATGGGCGCCGCGGCGGCGAGGTTGGCGGTGGCGACCGACGCAACGACGAAGGCGGTGAAGGAGCCGGAGAACTTCATTTTGTGAGTGTGAAGGTGAGGGGGAGGATGGGGGTTGAAGGGCTTGGAGGGTTCGTGCGGGGTTTGGCCGTAAAGGAATTAGAAGGGACGGGGAAAGATTAAAGACAGACGAGGGGCTAGTAGTGCGTGGAGAAGGGGGTGGGAGGGGTTGGTGGGGACAGGGGAGGTGGATGCGTGTATGAGGAGGAGAAGAGGCGAGACGAGGAGGGGTTGAAAGGCAAGAGAGAGAGAGAGAGAGGGCTGATGAGGGAAAGAAGATGGTTGAGGATACGCTCGCGGCGGACGCCTTTATACACCGTGGACGAGGTCTTGTCGGCGGCCTACGCTGTCATCGGCTGCTCGGCCGCGGGAGGGGCGGGACTGTCAGACCAGAGACTCCGCTACGGTGTTTCGGGTGCTGGTGCTGGTGCTGGTGCTGTTACTGCCGCCGCTGCTGCTGCTGCTGCTGCTGCTGCTGCTGCTGCTGCTGCTGCTGCTGCTGCTGCTGCTGCTGCTGCTGCTGCTGGTGCTGTTACTGCCGCTGCTGCTTCTGCGACGGACTGTAAGATGCTTCCACGACCATGGCGTACTGTGACAGCCAAGTCCGACCGGCTGGCAGGCACGGTGCGTGGACCCAGCGGACGGGAGACGGCACGGCTGGCTCGAGGACGCGCGGAAGGAGGGGGCGAGCAGGCAGGTCCAGACGTGCAGCCATGGGGGCATGATGCGAAGCATGGGGCGGAGTAAGGAGTGGAGAGGTTGTTTTGACAGCTGCGAGTGGCGTCAAGCTTTCGGTGTCTGCCAGGAGAGAGGCAGCGTACCACTAGGCCGTCCAGCAGGGCTAGGGTCGACCCGGAACCCCAGGCTAGGCTGGGCCACTGTAACATGGGCCGCAGGCAAAGTGCGTTCCGCGGATCAGAGGGGCCGGCTAAACGACGCCTGGGGCATGGTGGCCGTCGCCGGGTCATACCCATGCGGTAGCAGCCCAGTGGCCCGAGGACGGGCAGACAGGCAGGCAGGCAGGCGGGCGGGCGTGCCTGCAACGCATCGGTAATCGACGAGGGACAGGCGGGTGGCTTGTCGTAGCCTGTCACGCCTCCGGCGGCCGTCTTCGTTTACACAGAACAGCGGATCGAAGCGTTGGAAGCTGCCGAGGTGGAACGGACGTCAGAAAAGGTAGAGCGTGTAACACTAGCATCCAAGGCAGGTTGGGCGATGCTCTCGTCGAAGGCTTGCGTGCGAGCATCCTGGCCGAGGGCTGGGATCACGTCGAGCTGGCGGGCGTGTTTTGGGCCGCTTCCTGCGACGAAGACGACGGCGACAGCGACTAGGCCAGGGCCGCCGTTGCGAGAGAGGGCTACGCTGTGGTCACCCTAGGCCTTGCCGTGGCCCCGGCCTATTGCTAGAGTGTGGCTCGAGCGATGGACGTTGCATCGGGTAACGGGTGCCAGGGGCGCCGAGCAGGTGAGGTGTTGGGATCGACGGGGCACTTGTCGAGGGGCGAGCAAGGATGCGAACATGGACCATGCCCGCAGTGGTGTGCGATGGTGCCATGGCCAGCAGAGGAAGACGAAAGAGGCAGCAGGCAGACTAGTCCGTCGTGGTTGTGGTGGTGGTGGTGGCTCGTTTGGCTGGGGAGAGCGAGGGCAAGGGGCGAAAGCGCTGTGCGTGCCTGGCGCCAGAGTGCCGTGCGCTGTGCTGCTGCGCTGCGTGGGCACCCCTGCCTCGCCTCGCCTCGCATCGCCTCGCCTGGGCCACCCAGGTTGCTGCTGCTGCTGCTTGGCTGGGCTCTCGAAGCTTTTTTGGCGTTGGCCGGCGTGCCTTCGCTCGTCAAGCCCTTCTTGCTTCTTTGAGCTGGCAGAGGACCCGGGCCCGATTTTCCAAGCGGCAGGCAGGCAGGCAGGCAGGCAGCAGGCAAAGCGCGCGCCGGACCCTGCCTCGCTCGCCTCGCCTGGCTGGCAGGCAGAGTGGTGCCAGCCTGCTTGGGATCATGCCCGCGGGGCTCCCTCTGGCCCACCGACCACTAACTACTACCTCTCTCTTGACCATCACAACGACAACACCCTCCATCCTCGTCTGCCTGTCACAGGCCATGCACATCGCACCATCACACGCTGCATCAAAGCGTCGCTGCGACGCATGGGGCTCGGTCTGCCAGGCCCGCCGCCTCGGAATGTGCCCTTGCCCGACGGCATCACCCGTCGCCTGCCAGCACGGATGTAGCCCGTCAGTCGGGGTCTCACCGGCCGGGCCAGGCCGGGCGTGGGTGGGTGACAGGCCGGGCGCCACACGCAGTCGACTCCGCTTCCTTGGACAGCCTGTCCGTGGAAGCCTGCCACCGAAACCGCTCCACACTCTGTCAGGCTTCTGCTTCCATCGCTGACTGTTGACGTGCATCGCCGCTGCGTATGGCAGCCCACACCACAGATAGCACAGCGGTAACACAGCAGTCCAGCTAGGGCGGTAGCAGCCGCAGCGGGATCTTCTCCGGCCCAATTGCGGCCGGCCAGACGATGGCAGGCCAGGCCAGGCCAGGGCAGGCCGGTGGGCACAGACGCGCGCTTCGATCTCACGTCGGATTCCTCGGCGGCATTGTCCGCTGTTGACAGACTCGAGCATGGCCTGGCATCTTCACTCGATCAGCTCGAGAGGCAGCGCGCTGGACGCATCCCTCAGGCTGGCCGGGTGATCCGCAGGTGAGGGCTAGTGCGCAATGGCTTGGCTCGGAGCCGCTCCGAAGCGCCGTCGGTCGCGACTGCCGCTCGTTTTGCGAGGTTAAACTCGCCAGAGTCGCTGCAAGGTCGTGCACCTCTCCCGTGCAGACTGGCTCGGGTCAGTAGTTGTCGTCAGAGACGAGGAGGCGACTCGACAGGCAAGGGGCCAAAAGAGACGAGCAGGCCCAGATCACGCTGCGCGCGCTGCAGACGAGGGGGAGGGGGAACAGGGCAACCCCCTGCCGTAGAGCATCGACGCACTGGGCTGGCTCTCTTCCAATCCAGGGGGTAACTACCATCAACATCCCTCCTCCGGCGCTGAGCATGAGCAGACTCTGCCCGACTCTTCGGGCCCAGCCGTGGCCCTGACTTGGCTCCAAGACAGAACCCTCTGCGGAGGGCTGGTCCGACCTCGACCAAAGATGCCCGGTCGACTGCCGGCCGCGCGTTGTCCGAGGCTGGCTCGTCGACAGCAGGATGCCCACCTGCCTGTCCGGCAAAGTCGCAGCGCAACCTATGGTCCATGGTCAACGGATCGTCGTCGCCTCGCAACGAGCAGGACGTCGGCACCGGTCGCAAAGGCCGGCAGACGATTGGGTTAGGGCGCCGAACACCGTCGACGAAGGGACCACGTTGGGTCGTGAAACGAGGGGCGAGACGGGCGATCACGTAGACGCTAGGCCAGGACGGGTCAGCCGACGAGGATGGATGCTGCCCGCCTGCCCGTGGGTTGCGCCATTTCAGTCGGAGCGAGACGGGCTGCCTGTCTGCCAGCTGTCAAGGGCGCCTCGGCAATGGATGCCGCCCCGCCCGTCGTCCGTCAGACGTGTCTCTGGCGTGTGCCCGTCAAGCCTGGCAGGCCAAGCTTGTCTCTGCAAGCTCTAACCGTCCCGCGCTTGGATGCCCTTGCTGAACGGCGCGATGCGTGCCCGACGTACCATGGCAGCCCGCGCTTCCTGCACCGATGATCATCTACGCACGACGTTCCCGCGGAAACCAGCTGCTTAAGCTTGCTCCATTGTTCGACGCCTTCTTCGACGGCCTCTTCGCAGAAGTGTTGTTGTTGACGTCGTCGTCGTCGTCGTCTTCTTCGTCGCCGACGCCGCCGCCGTCCAGGGCGCTGGTCGATGTTGTCTGACCGTCCGCCCATCGGCCCCTGACCCTTCTCAATCTTCTGTCCCACGCACTCGATCCAGCCGTCGCGCTCGAGAGTGCCCGCTCGCCGCGGTACTCTGTTACGACTCGACGTCCCGGCGCCATCTTGGCAGGCATGCTTGCTTGCTTACTTGAACCGCCGCTCGCACCATCCTCCTCTCCGTCGCGTCGGGTCGGACACCGGTGTCGCTGTTCGCCGTCCGGCCAAGAACGCCAGCCATGATCCATCACTGGCGCGCTTGTCGTCGGCACTCGTCACTGACAGACCGAGAGTCACGCGGGACCAGACCTCAGTCAGCGAGCGAGCGGGCGGGCGGGCGGGCAGAGTGGCCCTGTGGGTCGGACACAACATCGACGTCGACAGCTGAGGCCCGTCGAACGGACGTCCCCCCGGCCGACAGCTGTCCCGTGCCGTCCTTGGCGCCGATGGTTGTACGTCTGATCACTGCTGTCCCGGCTCCGCCCCCTCGAGTGCGGCCGCCTTGTTTTGACAGCTGCGTCTGTCTTGGATGCGCGCCCTTGCCTCCTTGTTCGCTGTCGCTGCCGACGTCCGCCCTTGCTTGACATCCTTCCTCCTCGCAGCCTCCCTGCTCCTTGCCCTTCGTCATCCACCCTGCCCCCTTGCCTCCCCTCCCCCTTCCCTACCCTCCCCCCCTCCCTCCTCCTCTGCCATTGTACACGCTCCCTCGCTGCCACACTCCTTTGTACACACTCTCGTTTAGCGACCGAACCCCGGACCTCCTTCTTCTTTCGTCTTGTCCTCCACCGCCTCGACGACCCCCTCGCCCCTCCCTCCCTCATTGTCCCTCAAGCGCCTGCTGCTGATCCCATCTCGCCGCCTTCAAGCAGCCCTCTCAAGGCCGTCACCACCACGACCTCACCTCTACGCCGCCGCCACCACCACCACCACCACCACCACCACCACCACCACCCACCCACCAACACCGACACCGACACCACTACCATGAGAGGGCCGCGATCCAGCTTCCTCGGCCTCACCACGCTCGTGGCCATCGCCCTGACCAGCCAAGCGAGCCCCTCGACGGCAACAGCGGCGACCTCGCGCTTCCACCCGCGGCAGCTCGGCAGCGCACCGCTCGTCGTCTTCGGAGACTACCAGAACGGCAACAACAACCAGCTCGGCAGCGACAACTCGCAGTCGTCGTGGTCAAAGTCCAACGTCAGCGGCAACGGCAACTCGCTCACCCAGGGCTCCGCCGGCGTGTCGCAGTCCCAGTCCGGCACGGGCAACTATGCTCCGCCGCAAGGCGTCGAGCAGCACGTATCGCAGCAGGCACAGCAGGATGGGGCGTCTTCGCAGCAGGTCAACCAGCAAGTCAGCCAGCAGGCCGACCAGGGACCGCCACCGCCAGGGCCTCAGTCGCAAGCTCCGCTCTCCGACGGCATCCCGAACCTGGCAGCGCAGCCGGCGTCGGCCAACGGCGCTCACTCCGCCTCCGGGTCCGCCAAACAGGATGTCCACCAAGAGGCTGTCCAGAACGCCGACGGGGGCAGTGGCGAGCAGAAGGTCGAGCAGTCGGCGCAACAACAGTCCAACGGCGGGCCAGCAAGCCAGAACGTCGAGCAGGTGGCCAAACAGGAGTCGCACCAGGAGGGCCAACCACGGAAGCTCGGCATGCTTCGGAAAGGGTTCAGCCAGACTGTCGGGCAGATCGCGCAGCAGAACCGTGGCGGCAACAGCAAACCGTCCGGCGAGCAGGCCGTCAGCCAAGATGCCTCTCAAACGGCCCCTGCCGTCCCTGCCTCTCCATCACCCGCCACAGCGAAGCAGAACGTCGATCAAAGCGTCTCGCAACAGGGCGCAGGCGGGCAGCAAGATGCCAAGCAGTCGAGCGTAGAGCACGCCGACGGACCAGGCTCCGCAAACCAGCAAGTCAGCCAGCATGTTGAGCAGGACGGCGGTAGCAGCCAGAACGCGCAACAGACGGCCGAGCAGACTGCAGTCCAGAACGGAGGCGGAGACATCAACCAGTTCGCCAGCCAACAGACGACGCAGACATCCGGCGGCGTCGGCGGCGGCGCCCCTGGTCCTTCATCGCAGTCGGTGCAGCAGCAAGTGAGCCAGGCGGCCGGGGGCGATGCGAACGTGCCGTCGGCGGATCAGCAGGCGATGCAGCAGGCTTTCCAGGCCGCTGCCCCTGGCGCCGCCCTGCCACCGCCGTCGAAGTCGCCGCCGCCGCCGTCCATGAACCAGATGGTCAGCCAGCAAGCACTTCAGGATGGCGCCTCGCCCACGGGCCAGACGGTCAACCAGCAGGCGACACAGCAGCAGCGAAGGCGACACCTCGAGCTCAGCGCTTCCGCGTCGCGCTTCCGTCTGGTCAGAGTCTAGGTAACGGCGGTACACCGACCTGCTTGCTCCCGCCTTACGTTTGTCTGTTGGCCCTACTGCAAGGAGGTCCCCTTGCTTCTACGGTCAGGTACACGCGCGCTCGCCCGTGCTCTGCACCTGACCGAAGGCCGGCTTGCGGTAGAGTCTAGTCTATCTACCCCTTGCTTGCGCCCTCCCCTCGTCCTTGATCTGGTCCCCTCACATGGCCTCCCCCCCGCGCCTCTGACCCTTTGTTCCTTGCTTTGTAACGGGCTACCTGCTCGCGGGCCACCGGCCACCTCCATTCACTGTCTTTGACGTCGAACAGTCGTACTTAGAACCCTCTCTTGATACCCTATCCACACTCTCTAGCTGCTCTGTCGCCCCCGCGCCCGCCTTCTATCGCGCACTCTCGTCCGGCCTCTTGTGCCATGTAACACCTTATCTCGCCTCGGCCGGCTTCGATCGAGCATTCACTCTGGTCGAGGGAGCCTGTTGGTTGGACCCGACGTCGATTCGCACCCAGCCCCGCGCTCTGCCAAACGAGGTTAGGAGAGGTTGAAACGGGATCGGTCCCAAAAGGCCTGTCTAATTCAGTGTGAAAAGCCGCAGACTCGAGGGCCGTCGGACGCTATTCGATAGGGCACCCCGTTGAATGGATAGAGCGGGGAGGTATCGTTCTACCCTCTCTCGCCCTGGCCTGCTTCACAGGGGTATGGTACGGTAGGGGAGGCATCATGTCACCGCCCTCGTCAAGGCAGGCGGCCGCAACGGGGCGGGGCGGGGCGGGATCGGAGACCGGAGCGGGGCCTCGCCTCGCCTCGCCTCGCCTCGCCTCGGCCCCCTGACGGCCCTGTCTGCAGATGCCTAGCTGTATCTGTGGTGCACAAGTCGGGTCTAACCTGATACGTCGGGTCGGACAGTTCTAAACGAGCGCCCTGTACTGTATGTAGTGTACGGCCGGTACGGTGGACCACGTCGGCGCGTCGGCGGGGAGAATTAGAGTTGGAGTGCAGCCTGCATGGCATGCATGCCGGCCCCGCTGATCCCCCCCGCCGCCTGCCTGTACCAGGAAGTGAAGCTGAGCGCACGGCGATGCGGGGGAGGGGACGGGGGGGAGTTCATGCGCACCTTTGACAGGCTTCGATGCGACGCGGCGAACACCCTCAAGCCCGAGCGAGGAAGGCCACCCAGGTTTTCGAGCGACTCCAAACGTGGCCTGTCCGACTGGTTCGATACCTCACTCCCTCCGCCCTGTGCGCAGCGCTGTCCATCGAAGAGCGTACCATTGTAGCTGCGGTTCCAATGCACCGCCGTGCCCATGGAAGACTACGACTTGAAGATCGACTGGCTGGCTGTCTCGCTTCCTGTCGCCGTCCAATTTAAGCATCTTCCGTTCCTCGAGGCTCGTCTAGAACGCGGGCAGAGAGACCGCGCGCCGCGCCGCGGTCGACGCTCATCACGCCTTCCCTCGCGCTCCCTTCCATCGTTCGTGTGGTACGTCCGAGCTACTCAGTCATCCTTCTAGACGCTAGAGACCATGATCGACCAACCGACCAACGTCGAGGCACTTGGTACCGAGACGGTCACGCCAAGCCACGCCACTTGTCCTAGTTTGCCTTCCAGTGTGGCGTCCGTGGATCAGCACCATCATGCTTCACCACGACAACCTCTCCTCGCGCCATCACGCCACCGCACCGCATCGCATCGCATCGTATCGTACCTCGCGCGCTCGTACATGGAAGGGCCCAGGGCACCGAGGTTTAGCCGGCTTTGCACGTCGCCCCTTTTCCGCTTGCCCGTTTTGCGGGTGGGTGGGTTCTTGAATATTCCTGCACGCCACGCCGCATCTGGAACGATGCGATAACTCATCCATCCCCCTCCCTCGTTCACTTCCTGCCTAGCACGGGGTCCAGCTGTCAAGCAAGGGTCGGCACGGCAGGAGACTGCTTCTACAGCGGCGCGCTTGTTGTGGCTTGTCTTGGGTATCGTCCCAGCCTCAAGTTTAGAACCCGGTCCGTTCTTGATCCCATCGTTCGGTGAGGGAATACGTAGGCCGGGGCGTTCACAAGGCCTGCAGAGGCTGCGGGTGTCGAATGCGAGGGCGGTGACAGGAGAAGCGAAGCTTGCATCCCGCCGCTCAAGGTTTCCGTCGAAGCGCTCCACTATTGTCCTGTCACATGGTGAAGGCGACGAGGACGACGGGGAGAAGGGACGAGACATGCCCAGAGCAGAGCTCTCGAAGCGGGCTCTCTCAGGTCACGTTTTCCCGTCACGTCTCGAAGCCGTCGAGGGGTCCGTCTGTCCGACCAAAGGAAGCAACCCGCCGGCCGTCTCTCGATGTCCTTGATCTGTTCCACCACCTCCCTGTTCCCGCCTTGTTCCATCGTCTTGATTCCCCTTTCTCTCCTCCTCATCATCAACACCACACCCCCCTCCCCTCCCTCCCTCTGATCCCCGCGTCACCACCACCGCGTCACCAACAACAGCATCATGAAGCTCAGCACCTCGTTCGTCCTCCTCTCGGTCTTCGTCTCGACGGCCCTCTCGGCGCCGCTGGTTCAGCAGGTGGGCTCGGCGCTCGGCGCCGGCGGCACCTCTTCGCAGGTGCAGGACAACGACTACAGCCAGGTGCAGCCCGGCAACTCTGTCCAGAACGGCGGCGGCGCCTCGGCCTCCAACGAGGGAACGGCGGGTACCGTCAGCCAGTTTGCGCCTTCAAGCAGCGGCGGCTGGACGAAGAGGGACACTTTCCCCGTCCCCCACCACGTCGAGCAGATCGGACTCGTTCACACCGAGGACGAGCTTCAGGCCATCGCGAAGAGGCTCGTCGGTCCCTTGGCGGGCGCTACCAAGGGGCTCCCCGTTCCCCTCGCGGGCCGTGACAGCTCGCCGTCGCAGGGCGTTGCCAAGAGGCTCGTCGGTCCCTTGGCGGGCGCTACCAAGGGCCTCCCCGTTCCCCTGGCGGGCCGTGACAGCCCGCCGTCGCAAGATGTTGCCAAGAGGCTCGTCGGTCCCGCGGGAAGTCTCACGGGCCTCGGTGCCGCCCGTTTCGCAGAACCCCAGAGCGTTTCCAAGAGGCTCGTCGGCTCTCAGGGCGGCAGCGCGCAGGGCTACGGCGGTTCCTCGACGGCGGTGCAGGACAACGACTACAGCGACGTCGCGCCGGGCAACTCGGTGCAGAACGGCGGTGGCGCGGCGGCCTCGAACGTCGGGACGGGTGGGAGCGTGGAGCAGTTCGGGCCGTCGAGCTTTGGGTACGGCAAGAGGGACGAGGTGCACCTGTCGCCCGAGGAGCACGAGCTGATCGACGCCGTCATCCGCGAGTACTTCCGCCGCGACCTCGACAGGCGCACGCGGTACCAGGGTGGCAGCGTCGAGGGACACGGTGGCTCCGCCCACACGGCCCAGGATAACGATGTCAGCCAAGTCGCCCCCGGTAACCAGGTCAGCGTCGGCGGGAGCCAGACGGCCGACCTGAGCGGAATCGCCGGCGGTCTCCTCCAGCAGCAGTAGTGAGCCTGCACTCGCTGCCCCGCACCGCCGCCTCTGTTCGCTCTTCGACTGGTCGTGATCCCCCGAAATCGGCCTAGCATACCCAGCTTCGACGTCCAACCCCAGCCCGCTCCTTGATCCTTCCCCGCACCCTATCCCCCCCCCGTCGCTCCTTGCACCCTCTCCTGCTTCGAACAGCTCTCCGCGTCTCTGTAATGCCTTGTCGTTCGATGTCCTTGTTGTTTGTGTCGAGAAGCGTGCCATTCCGAGCTGGGGCAGTGAATGGTGGACAAGCCGTCGGTGGCCGTCGAGGTGGGTGATGGACGGTGCGAGCCAGGCCAGGCCCAGCCTGGCCAGCCTGAACCCTGCCTGCAGCGCCCTGTCGAAAAAACACGCGCCAAAATCCGAGCGAAAAAAAGGCGGCCGCGGTGGTCGAGGCTCGTCACCCAGGGTTGCCCCTGTATTCAGCCTCCCTGCCGGCCTTGAAAGCACCGCCGTGTTTGTATTCGAATGGCCCGCTCGCGAATCTAGTCCCCACCGCCATTGAATTCGACCCAACGGATCGGGGCTGCAACCTTCCTTTAATCCAACTTGGGGCCTTCAAATTCAACTCGTCTCGAATTCAACCCTGACCGTGCTGCGCCACCAGCCTCTGCCCACCTTTCGACGTCCCAGCTGCGAAAGCTCAGCGCAGCGCCCACGACAACCGACTACTGTGTACTCACCACCTGCCGTCCTGGTCGTCGTCGACGAGAGCTCGCCATGCTCGTCCAACCTCGTTCGTCCACCGTCGACACCGAGGGAGGCTGACCCGTGTCGGCCGTGTGAGGCAGCGATGCATTTCGCGCCAGCCTCCATTCCAAGACGCAAGGGGCTCTTTGTTTCCTCTGCGACCAGGCTACCTGTAGACGACCATGCATGGCATCCACACCCGACCGAGACGAGCGCATGGTATGGCCAGGCAGAGCGTGGCAAGCTCAAGCTCTGCCAGCCTCGCTGCAAGGCCTCTGCAGAAGCTCCGCCGTACCAGCCTGGCCCGCCCCAGCAGATGTATGAACCTTCGGAGCCGTCAATGGACCGACCCTGCATCGAGTTGGCCTCCTTGCTCCGTCGTTGCCCGCCATCCTCCACCACCGCGTCTACGTCCTCGCGCCCTCTTGGCAGCTACAGGCCCCCGACATCCAGCTCGCCCTCCTCCTCCATGGCCGCATCCAGGCCTGCTCGCTGGCCAGCCGACGATGAGCTACTGCCAGGGTGGGTCCCCTCGCTCGCCGACTGCTCGGAAAATGTCGAGGCGATCTGGTCCACAAACTCGTGCTGGAGGTCGGCGAGGTAGGCACCCAGCTCCGCTTCGCTCGCCTCGTCGCGGGAGCTGGCAATGTGCCGCAGGTGCGCAATCAGCTGTCCCTCCGGATGTGTCCCAAAGCAGACGAGCAGGGCAACCCATGTGACGTCCCAGATCAGCCATCAAGAGGCCGTCGTTGCGACCCTCGCTCTCAATGCCAACCTTGCGGGCAGCCCGCAGACTCACCTCGTGCACGAGCCGCCTCCTGGTCGCCAGGTTCTGCTGCATGAGGTGTCCTTCGGCCTGCTTTCTTCGCAGCTCGATGCTTCGAGCCATCTCGTATGCTCTTTCGAGCATGCCCGGGGGAAGGTTGGCCAGCTTGGCCAGCTCCAGGCCATAGTGCTCCCTGCAGGACAGCGCACCGGTCGAGATTGTCCGAAAGAGGGCAGATGGCTGCGAAGCGTCAGTGACAAGCGCGTGACACCAACCCCCCTGCTCGACACCGTCCCCGGCACGTACTCCTCGCAGTATCCCAGCTGGAGCTTGTGGTGGAAGACCATCTTGAACGGCTCCGAGGGCTCGGCCACGCTCGGGCCCAGCGTGACGCGGAAGTGGACCATGCTGACGCCGGGATGTGGGCTCAGCGTCGAGGTCAGCTCGAGGAAGTGGGTGGCGAGGTAGGCAAACGACCTGCGGCGGATCAGCTCCTCGCTGACGGCCTGGGCGATGGCGATGCCCTCGTCGGGCGACGTGCCGCGTCCCAGCTCGTCGAGGATGACCAGGCTTCGAGGCGACGCGAGCGAGAGGGCAAACGCCGTCGCGCGCATCTCGTTGGCAAAAGTGCTCAGGTTCTGCTCGGTGTCCTCGTTGTTCGAGAGGCGGCTCAAGATGGCGTCCGGGACAAAGAAGCTCGCGTCTGGCGGCGGCGAGGTCGTCGAAAGCAGGAACGCGAGGGATGAGCAGCGCGAGCAACGCGATACACCCAAGATCGCGCGAGGAAGCGATTACACGCACACTGTGCCGGCACGCTGCGGTTGGGCGAGGCAGCCGGAGACAAGATCAGCCCTCGCTGGGGGTGCAACCTCGCTCGACGAGGGCGAGGGCAAACTCACAAGCTGCCGATCATCGCCATCACCACGAGGAGCGCGATCTGTCGCAGGTACGTGCTCTTGCCGCTCATGTTGGCTGAGGTCAAGGCGAGTGCACATCATCAGCTGAGCATTGCAGCCCGCGCACAGGAGGCGGCATCAGGCTCGAGACTCACGTCCGGTGACGAGGCAGAAGCCTCCCTCTTCCGGGATGAAGACGTCGTTCGGCACCAGCTCCTTGCGCTGTTTGACCCTGTCCAGGATCGGGTGACGCGCGCTCTGGAGCGCCAAGGTGCCCGTGATCTCGGGACGCTGGTAGTTCTGCGCGGCGGCGACATGGGCGAAGCCGGCCACCATGTCAAGCAGCGCGAGCGCTTCGGAAACCTGAAGTCAGGATGAAGGGAAAAGATCTGGATCAGAGCCTGGCCCCGTCGCTCGACGATCGCGGAAAGGTTAACATGGCTTGCCTTGTAGAGGCCGGCGACGTTGGACACGATCTCAATCCGCAGCTCCTCGATCGCTCGCTCCGACATCAAGTACACCTCGTTGAGCGAGTCCATCAAGCGAGCGTTGAGCTTTTTCTGCGCGGACGGGACAAGAGTCAGCAGTACGGCCACCTGCAACAGCGTTTCGGGGCTCGCTGACGCTCACCAGGTCCAGGGTCAGCATTGTCACCGTACGTCCCGTCTTACCCTTGACGACGTTGGTGAAGATGCTGGGTAGGTGCCGGATGCGGCTCGAGTCCAACCGTGTCTCGAGCTACAAAGGCCGGGGGCGTCAATGAGGGGTCCTCGCCAGACGCGCAAGGCCGCCCGCAAGGACCAAGAGCCCGAAGTCTCACGCAGAAGCCTTCGGCAAACATCTTGATGCTCAGCGGAAGGTTGTACTCCTCTGCGAGGGACCCTCGAATGAGGATGTGGTCAGGCTTGCGGTCCTCCTCCGCGATACGGGCCAAGCAGCTACCACGGGAGCGACCTACGTCGGTACTTTTCGCTCAGCTCCGTGATGTCGCTGATAGGTACGCCAGGCGACGCTGCTCACATCAGCGCTCGCACTAGGCCATCACCCGGCTGCGAGGCGATGCGATGCGCTGCTCGTTCGACTTACTTCATGTTCTCTCGATACGTCTCCCGCGCGACATCGAGCAGGGGACTCCTTTCCGCCTGCGAGCTCAAAGCGTGGTGGGATCAGATGGGCGGCGATCTGTGAACCCGTTGTACTCGACGCGGAGACTGGAGAAACCTCACCTTGACGGCATACTGGTTCCACACAGCGAATTCACCCAATCAGCAGGCGGGATCGTCACCGAGGACCACACTGGCGACTCACGACCCTGGCGTTGCGCGATCCGAGGCCTCCCTTGGAATGCACAATCTGCTCATTGATTGTCGCATCGATGGCCTGTTCGACGGCGTCGAGATGGTCCGAGGCTAGAAACTGCGGGCGCAACGAGACCAATTCGTCCATCAGCTCATCGATGCTGGAGCGAAGGACACCGTCAGCGCCGATCACGGCTCAGGCTGCGTACCTCGGCGATGGTGACCAGCAGGTTGCTGCTGCTGCCTTCCAGGGCGGCCCGTGCTGTTGCCGTCGTCGCCGCTTCAGCGACCGCCGCTCTCTCGATCGCAGATAAAGCTCGGCGATCCCCGCTTGCTCACCCGGTCGGAGCGTGCGGATGAGCGTCCGCAGGCTCAGCATCTGGGCGATCTTGGTCTCTGTCCGCTTGGGGAAGAGCGTCTTCTTCTCGGTCGCCACGAGCTGGTGGATGACCTTGTCCAGATCGACTCTGGCTTCCTTGAGCGGCCGCATGCTCTCCTTGATGGCGTAGAACCTCTCCTGGAAAGCGCGAAATGGAGCGGTGCGGCGAGCGAGGGTTGGTTCCTCGATTGCGCCTTGGTCCACTTGCGATGGCGAGAGGACGCACCTCTGACTGTGTACACTCTTCCACGGCGTCGTACCTCGCCTCAATCGTGTCCTTGTCTGCTGACGCACGGGGTTGGCGACTGGAGTCAGTGATGCCCTCGGGGCGGCGCATGGGATCGATTTCGTGCAGCGTCTCACCCGTCAGCGGCTGAAGGATGTTCATGCGCAGCAGCCTCTGCCCCATGGGAGTCACACAATGGTCGAGCAGCCCTATAAACCCGATGATGCGGGGAAGCTTCGTCAGCCTCCGGGGCATGGGCGCGCCCGCCTGGCGAGGGACGTACCATATAGGCAGAGCTTGGACTGGCGGTCGATGAGGTTGTTGACCAGCTCAAGATCGCGCGCAGTGTTGCTGCTGATCAGGACGGTGCCTGAAAGGGCGACGAGGCCAAGGGAGGCGTTAGAGACGTGGGAGGAGATGCCCTCTGGCCCTTTCCCGCGGATTTGGTCGAGACGAGCCGCACTCACCGTCGGGCACGACGTACTGGATGCGAAGGGAGCGGGGGCTGAAGACCCGGTTCGTGACCGACTCGATGTACTCGAACAGCGCGCAGGCCGCCGAGAGGCCGTAGTACCGCGTGGAGATGGCTTCGAGGACGGCGGCCCTGGTCGTTGCGGCGGCGTTGATCTCGGAGGACAGGTTGCTCCTGCTCGCTCCCACTCCGGTGCCGGAATCTCTGGCCACTGAGCCGGGTGGCGACACGAAGCCCTGTCCGGTGTCGTCGACGAGCAGCTTGTCGAGATATCGGGCACCTGTTCGTCACGGCGGCGATCGCCCGACGCTACGTCAGGACCTGCACCGCGCGACCGTGAGGCCTCGACGCTGCCAGCTCACCTTCTTCGTGGTTCCAGTGCCTGCGTGGCAGCGGCGTCACGCTGAGCTCGAAAATGTCCTCGAGGCACTTGACGAGCACCGACTCCTCCGTGGCGACAGGGTCAGCAGCTCGAACGGGATCGGCGCTGCGGGTCGCCTTGGAGCCCTTTCTCAGCGGCGTCCGCACGGCGCTCTCTGGGACGAGGATGGCCGAGGGCGGGTGCAGCGAAAGGTGGTGGATGGCCTTGACGTAGGTCTGGGTGTCGGCGAACTGGGTGAGGATGCAGCGGCCCGTGTCCTTTTCCATGGCGGCAATCCCGACCTCTCTGCCAACGCCGCGATGCTCGAGGACCGCGCAGATGTAGGAGCCCATCGAGCCGTCGGCCGTCGTAGTGCGATGGTGGTGATAGCTCGAGGCCGTAAAGGGTCGTGCTGTTGAGCCACGATCGGGCTCGGTCCTCGTCTGCGCCGGACCGCTGGCTGACCTCCGTACCTGGTTTGCGCCATCCGCGCTGGCGACAGAGCCATCAGGCCCCGACGCCAGGTCCGACCAGCTGACGCTGCCCGTGCTCGTCCCCGGCACCGAACGTGGCTGAACGGTCGCGGTCGGAGTGAAAGCTCTGAGCGATTGTGGAGTCCCACCGACGCCTCGTCGAGCGTCTGATAGGCTGCTGGCTGTGATGCCCGGGATGCGGAACGACGAGCTGGCAGACGAGGCCTGCGAGTCGGCGGTGCTGGGAGGAGGCGGCAGAGAGAAGGTGAATGGATTCTCGTCGGTCCCCGTCGTGAAGCCGATGCACCCAGCCCCGCGTCGATCGAGCCGCGACGGCCTGCGACGGGGATCGGCCGTCAAGGCGTTCATCGAGGTCGTGTCAGACGATGGATGGGCAGCAAAGGCAGCCTTTTGGTGGCCAGAGTAGTGAGAGCGGGTGGGCAAGAGGATGGAGAGGCCCGAGCCCCGGGCGTCGAAGCTTAAGTAGCAGCCCCAAGGCCGGCCAAGACTCGAGCCGCCAAGCCAGGTGCGCCTGCTCCGCACCGGACTGGCCACCGCGCCAAGGCGGAGCTGCCCGAAACCGTGTCGCTGGTCAGCAAATGGCTAACCCGCCGGCGGGTCAAGGCCGGCGAGTTCAGACCTTCGGAAGCAGCCCGCCAGCTTCCGCCACACTCTGTGCCCAGTTGGCCGCTACGGAAGGGAGAGGCACAGACGCACGCCCAAACAGACGCAAACGCAAGAGAAGAGAGGATGGGAGAGCCACGGCGTGGAGCCGCAGCCAAGGTATCGTCGAGGTGGATTGCAATTCGGATCGCTTCCGACGCGGTCCAGTCCGCTCCGCCCCCATCTCTTATACCCGGAAGACGAGGCCGACGCCTTCGTCGCCCGCGCCGACAATCTTCCAGCCGCGCGCCTTGGAGGGGTCGGCGTAGGCGCCGATGCCTCCGCTCTCGGCGCCCTGGGTGAAGCCGTCGTCCTTGCCGACGGCGAGGGCGAGGACGCCGTCGGTGAATCCGCGCTGCACGGCGATGCAGGCGCCCGTCCGCGCGTCCCAGGTCTTGATCGTGTGGTCGGCTGACGACGTCGAAAAGAGCGTGGTGCCGTGGTGCAGCGCGATCGACGTGATGGCGGCGTCGTGGAGCACCTCGCAACGCATCTTGGCCAGCGAAATGTCCCAGACCACGGCCTTGCCCTCGGTCGACGCCGTGATGACGTGGCCCGTCCGGCTCCCGCCGCCAACGTCGATGAACTGGATCCCCTCGATTGACTCGCCCTCGGCATGCCCGACGAGGGCGCTGACGACGTTGGCGGACCCGCCGTTGTCGATGGCGGCGATGTTGACGACGCGGACGTCGCCGACGGCACCGCCGACGACGACCACCTTGGAGTCGGGCGAGACGGCGAGCTGCGTCAGACCGCCTTCGAGGTTGACCTGCAGCTTCGACAGCGGTGTCGCGTTGCGCGGGTCCCACACGATCAAGCTTCTGTCCTCTGAGCCAGAGACCAGCTTCTTGCCTGCGGCGCGGGCGAGGTTGAAGAGGGCATGGTTGGGAGGCGAAAGACGGCGTCAGTACCGGCGGTGGCGGCGGGCGGGAGAAGCAGCAAGGGGACGGATCATGATCCGGCCGTGGACCCGGTCCGCGGACACAAAGCCAAAGCATCACGACGAAGCTCACCATCAGGCGTAAACGATCCGCAGGTGACGGCTTCCGTATGACCCGAAAAGACGTTCATGACGTTGCCGGACGGTACTGCGGCAGCGGCGAGGGAATCACGGAAATGGGCGGCATCGAAGCGACATCAGTGTCATTGCGTACGAGAAGGAGGAGCCCGACCGGCCACTCACGTTGCCACATCCAGACCGTCGAGTCGGCGCCGCCGGCCGAGAGAACGCTGCCCTTGGGGTGCCAGTCCATCCAAACGACCTCGTCCGGGCCCTCGAGGTTGGTGAGGAACTCCCACGTCTTCCAGTCGGCGCCCACCATCCGCCAGACGCGGATCTTGCCGTCCATGCCGGCGGTGGCCGCGAGGTCGCCGGCGGCGTTGAACGAGGCGGCCGTCACGCTGTCGGTGTGGCCGCCGAGGCGGGCAATCTCGGATCCGTCCTGGGTGTTCCAGATCCAGCCGCCGTCGTCCTCTCCGCCGCTGAGCGCCAGTGGCGGGCTGGGGAAGTTGGGGTGGAGCGCGATGCAGAAGAGCGACTTGCGGTGCGAGTAGAAGGCGGCGATCGAGTTGTCGACAAACTCCTGCTGGCCGTCGGTCATGTCCTGCTCGCCTTCGTCGGCGGGCCCTGCAGCGCCCTGGCCGTGCTCGTCATCCGAGTCATCGTCCATGGGCACGCCCTGCTCGTCGTCGTCCGGCACCACCTCGGCCACGTCATCGACGGTGAAGGTGGCATTGTCGTCGTCGTGCTCGCCCTGCTGGAACGCCGGGTCGCTGTTGGCAGGCTGCTGTTGGCTCATTGTCGGTGCGGTCGTTCAGTCGCTGCGTCGGTCGATGTCCTGGCGATGATGCTGACGGTGCCGTGAGGGGCTCGATGCTGCTGTCTTTAGGTGGATACGGCGGGAGGCAAGGAGCGAGGGCAGCAGCTTGGCATCGAAGACCTTGCTCCGTCCAGCTACCAGTTCGCGAGTCTGGGGGTCGGACCGTGCTCCACTTTGTTCAAAATTTTGGCTGGGCAGGGCAGGGCAGGGGTTTCTTCTCAGGGCCAGGCTTCCCCCGAGTCCCCGAAGCGACCAGCCACCTGAGCTCGGCGTTAACTCGAGCGCCACCTTCTCGGACGAGAGAGGCAGCAGATCTTCGACTCGGGTCCGAACGAGCAGATCGCCTGCCTGTCCGCTTGAGTGAGACGCCACCCTGCCCACCAGGCCGCACCCTCTCAGCTTGCAGCCCGGACGGTGTGCGTTGAGCTCCCGCCTTTGACCGCGGCGAGCCGGTGCTGGCGCCACCGCGCTCCAGCAAGCATCCTCCCTTTGGCCTTGGGCAGACATGGGGCAATCTCTTGACAAGCGACAACGGCGGCTGCTGTCGTCTGCGTTGCTGGTGGCGTTGCAGGGAGCAGCAGCATGCAGTGATAGGGAAGCAGCCCCGGTGGCGTACGGACGAGCCCGTCGCGACTCGCGATGCTACGGTCAACCAGCGACGGGCAAACGACAAGGACAAGATGCTGATTGGCCCAGCGACTCCTCTCGCGAGCGGCGGTCGCACGACCCCGCAAATCGCGCAACGATGACCTTTTCATCAGACGATTGATGCTGGCCCTGCTTGCCAGCCGACAGCGTTGGTCAAAGGCAGGAGGCAGGCCAGGCTGGGCTGGGCTCGGCAACAGCACAAAGGCGGGGAACAGACCTTAGCTTGCCTGCCAACGCTGGCTTGCACGCAAGGCGGGCGGAACGCTCCGATAGGCGGCCGGGCAGGTTGGCAGGGCATCGAACCGAGAGATGCACAGAAGCCGGCGTCAGCGGTCGGAACGAAGCCGTCCGAAGATCATGTGAAGACGCGGCCGCCTGCATGCCAGGCCTGGCAGCCTCGTCCCGCTTGGCCGGCGGTCGGCCGCCTTATCAGGCGGGCAGGCAGGCGGGCATGACAGCATGGAAGAGGAGCAAGCAGCAGCGCAGCCACGCACGCAAACCAGCCGCCGTCGCCGCTGCCGCCGCCGCCGCGAGACAAGCCGCCGAAGCCTTTTCTCCCGCATTTCAAAGCCAGCCGCAGCCGCAACAGCCACCGCGCCGCCGCCGCCGGCAGGGCCTGCCTCTGTCCTGCGCTGGTTGGGCCACTGGGCAGCGCGGCAGGCGGGCCGGCCCGGCCGGCGGCTTTCGTTGCTCCGAACTGGAGCGCGATCCTCGATCTTGACACGGCACGTCGTCCGAATGGCGCAAGGCACGCCGGGCCTGGCATTCCAACCAACCGTCGCTCATCTCTCAGAGCGAGATCGAGCTCGACGAACTCGACGTGTGTCTCGAGAGCATGATCACCGGTGCGCCTCACGGAGAGGCAAGCTCGGTACCGGTCACCAAGGCTGGTGGGTCGTTTAGAGAGCGGGCTTCGCTATGGCTGGGAATACGTAGCGCGTCCCATGCGAGGGGCATGGTGGCGAGGGGCCTGTCTCAATGCCGGGATTGCCCTGCGACGGCCCGTTGAAGCGAAAAGGCAGGGCAGGCTAACGTGGACGGACGGATCGCGGTCAACTGTCGTCCGAAACCAGGCGGGCGGGCGGGCGCGCGAGCGAGCCTCTCGGGAATCGTTCGGCGAAAGCCCGCTCGCCATGCCCTCTTCCATTCTTACACCATCGCTCGAGTGCGAGGGCCAGGACGGACTTGGCCGGCTCAACTTCCAGCCATGCATCGGCCATGGGCCGCACCTAGCCGGCCTGGTTCGCTCTTCTACGGTATCAGCGTGAGCATGAAGCAAAGCAGGCAAGGTCGTATGGCTTGAATAATCTTCCGGATGGCGAGCTCCGTCCATCGTGTCTCGCGATCCGTCCCGCTCGTTGTGTCGACGAACATCGAAGGCAGACGAGTCGGTCGATGGCTCTATCGAAGCTGCGAAGCTGCCACGCTACGGTATCGGGCGATGCGTGAGCCAGCTCCGTTCGATGCAGGATGCTGCAATCGTCGCGGGGCAGCAGCGAGGAGCAGGGGGTCGCGGAGCGTGTCGGGCCGGGACACGCCTGGCCGTCTCGCACCAGGGATTTTGCCACACGGCGAGCAAGCGGCACGGCAGAGCCGGGACAAGGCACAAGGTCCATCGCGATGGCCTGGCCTCGCCGCTCCTTGCCGATCTGGTCCGAGCCTTGCCACCATCCGTAGGTACCCGCTCATAACCACCTCGGTCCCAGTCTGCCTACCCTGGCGTGCCTGAATGGGAAGCAAGTAGAGCGAGAGAGATGGCAAGGAGGCAAGATGGCCCGGCTTTCATGCCGCCTTTCGCCAAACATCGCGCATTTGGAGTTCCGGGCAGGGCAGGGGGGCAAAGGCCCGGCCTGCCTTGGAGGTACCTCCCTAGCTCCTTCCTGGCTGCGAGGCTACCGGCAGCATCCGCGCCGGCAGCGGTCGGCAGCTGTTCTGGACTCTACCTGTACGAGGGCACACACCTGTCGACAGACCGGAGCCTGAAGAGTATGTAGCTAGAGCAAGCAAGCGGCGCTCTGACTGCCGTGCGGGCGTGATTTACCGGTAGGAACGAGCCCATCGTCGGGACGCCGACGGCACTACGCCCACCTTTGGCTGCCCAGCTCGAAACCTTGCAACGGCTTACCTGACGCGCCGACCCTTTGTTGGTGTTGCCCGGGTTGCTGCTGCTTTGTCGATTGGACGTTTCATCTGGCCGTCTTGCCAGCTGAGACGTACGTACGGTACCTACGATTCAATTCGCGATTGGTTTGTACGACGGCGTCTGTACTCTGCCTCGAGCAAAACAAGGCAATATAATCGACGGCACGGTACCTGAGGATCATGGTTCGGGTTCTGCCCACCTCCGAGATAGGCAGGTAGGTACGGCGAGGTGGGCAGCAGAGGGCTTTGTCGTGGCACGTCGCTATCGCCAGGCCAGGCCAGGCAAATCGGCCCATTGCGCGTTCCTGTGGCAAGAAGAGGCCGCCAGCGATGGGTCCGTCCATGCTTTCCCTTGTCACGGGACGGCACTCCTGCTCTGAGGCCTGCCTGGTCGTGTGGCGGCCAAGGCGAGCGAGCTGACGGGCGGCGGCCTGCAGCAGCAACACCCGGTCAAACGAGGAGCGGGCGCTCCCGACGCCTTGTCGGAAGACAGCCGGCGTGGTGGCGAGCGGCAGCATGACATGTGAGGGGGGAAGCAGGCCCAGGTCGGCCTGTCCTAGCCTAGGCCTCCGCACTAGCATTACTGGCCGTCTATCTCCTCTTTTGTGAGGTGGTGGGGAGCGAGGAGGCTACAGGTTGGAAGGATGCATGCAAGAGGCCAGGAACCAGGCTAGGCCCGGTCGACCTTTGCCATGGCCTGAGCAGCGCATCGTCGCCTGATGCCACAGCGGCTTGAGATCGAGGACGAGGTTCCACGACCTCCTTGCCACAGGTCGGGCCATGCTCTCCTGCTTTGCCATGCCGTGCCATGCCATGGCATGCCTGGCCACGCCGCGGCGCTTTGCTCGCCGAAGGGGGAAGAGAGCGGCCAGCTTGACGTACCGGTCAAAGGGGCAGGTGCCTGTTTCGGCAAGGTCCGCGGGGCTCTCTGACCTCGTCCTGAGTTGTCGAGATACGATGCGTACGCGTATACCTGCCCGCCAGACGAGCAGATAGATCAGGCCTCGCGGAAGAGGGAGAAGCGAGGGCGGGCGAGCCGACGGGGGAGGAGGATGGGGCAGCGGGCGGCTGCACAGAGCGGGGCAGGCCGGCCGGGCGACCGCCGGCAACGAAATGGGAACGGCAGGCCGCAAACGCCCGCCTCGCTTCCATCCATGCGAGGCGGCCACCCACATACACCATGGAAGCCAGGCCAGCAGGCCAGAGTAGTCGTTTGCGTAGTATTGTACGTACAGGCGACGTTAGGCTGCCCGTCCCCTGACCCCCGGCCTCCTCCATGGCTACGGTGGCTTCTGCTCGCGCTCAGATCGGAAGGACGAGCGCCGACCATGGGGCGGAGGGCGACCGCAGATGCACGCGACCTGGCCTCCCGCCCGCCTGCCCGCCATCTGCCTCCCCCCCACCCGCCGGCTGGTGGGCAGGTAGGTCGTAGGTATCGCGATCTGCTGGCTGTCGTCCATCCAATCACGGCTGCCCTGCCTGCCTGCCTGGCTGCCTGGCTGCCTGCTTGTCTCGCCTGGCCTGCCTCGAGACAGATCAGAGCTTAACCCTACCTGGCCCTGCCTTCGACGTGCAGCTCTCTCGCCGGCTGGGGTAAGGCTCACCACGCCGGATCCAGCGGCTGCCGCCCCGATAACGCGCGCCATACATCCTATATAGCCTCGAGCGTCGCCCGCCCCCCGCCGAGAATCCCTCGCAATTCAGCCCTGATGGCCTCTGACCCCTAGCTGCCGACGTTCCTCCGCCCGACCCGGCCTCGTCCCTTCCCTCCCTCACCCCCTCGCCACCGGCAGCTCGAGGCTTCTCACTGGAACCCGCACCCATCCCTCCGCACCCATCGCCATCGTCTCGGCCAGCCGGTCTCGCAGCAAAATGGCCGCCCACGACCTAGGCCGCACCGCTTCGGCGGGCTCCTCGTCGGACGCCAAGAACTCTTCCAAGGAGGAGATCAGCGACGTGCCCCAGCTCGACAATGTCGAGGCCACCCTGAAGCGCGACTACGTCGACCACCGCCTCAACGACCCCAACATGGAGACCGAGAAGATCGACCAGGTCGAGGCCACCCTCGAGCGCGGCGACTACAAGGCCGAGGTCCAGCTCGAGGAGGAGCTCGAAGAGGACTCGCCCTACCCCGAGGTCCGCGCCGCCGTCTCCAACGTCGACGACCACACCATGCCCGTCATGACCTTCCGCACCTGGGTCCTCGGCATGCTCTTCACCATCGTCATCCCCGGCCTCAACCAGCTCCTCAGCTACCGCTTCCCCACCCTCACCATCAGCTCCTTCGTCACCCAGCTCCTCTGCTACCCCATGGGCGTCTTCATGGCCAAGGTCCTGCCCGAAAAGGTCATCAAGACGCCTTTCGGCAGCTTCACCCTCAACCCAGGCCCCTTCAACGTCAAGGAGCACACTGTCATCACTGGTGAGTAGCGTGTTGCGAGCGGCGAGTGGCCAGCATCCACGGCCGGGTCCCCCCACCTGCTCTGGAGCCGGAAGACCCTGGTCGGGGAAATAAAGGCCCGACGCGTCGGAAGATCCTCGCCACGACCATACACCTCCTCGACCGTCCATACCTCGGTACATCTTGCTCACCACCTCATCCTCCTTCTTCCACGCTGTCTAATGGGGTAGTGATGTCAAATGTGACCTACCAACGCGCTTACTCCTCGCAGATCGCGGCCGTCCAACGGGTCACTTACGGCTACGACTGGGGCTACGGCTGGATCTTGATGATCACTCTCAGCTCGCAGCTGATGGGCTTCTCGTTTGCCGGCGTCTTCCGCCGCTGGCTCGTCTGGCCGGCTGCGATGATCTGGCCCGGCAACCTGGGTAACACGGCGCTCATGACGGCGCTCCACCGACAGGTCGACGTCGGCGAGAACCACATGTCGCGCTACAAATTCTTCATGCTGTCGTGCCTCGGCGCCTTCTGCTGGTACTGGTTCCCCGGCTACATCTTCACCATGCTCAGCACCGGCAACTGGTTCTGCCTCATCGCGCCGGACAACGTCGTCCTCAACCAGCTGCTCGGCACGCAGCAGGGCCTCGGCCTCATCCCGCTCACCTTTGACTGGACCCAGGTGACGTACGTCTCCAACCCGCTCTACACGCCGTGGTGGGCCGAGGCCAACGTGCTCGGCGGCTTCGTCGTCGCCTACTGCATCATTGGCCCCATCCTCTACTACAACAACGTCTGGAACACGGCCTACCTGCCGTTCCTCGCCTCGGGCACCTACGACCGCTTTGGCAAGAAGTACAAGGTGGCCAAGGTCACGACCCCGGACCACCTCCACTTCGACCCCGTCGGCTACAACAACTACTCGGAGGAGTACTTTACGATCTCGTACTCGATGGCCTTCGCCCTCTCGTTCGCCGCCATCACGGCCGTCATCGTCCACGTCGTCCTCTTCCACGGCAAGCAGATCGTCCAGCAGCTGCGCTCCTCGTACGACGACGAGAAGGACGTCCACGCCCGCCTGATGCAGCGCTACCCCGAGGTGCCCAAGTACTGGTACGCCATCCTCTTCCTCATCACGTTCGGCCTCGGCGTCGGCGGCATCCAGGGCTGGGACACGGGCCTGCCCGTGTGGGCCTTTATCATCGCCATGATCCTCGGCTTCTTCTTCATGCTGCCCGTCGGCGTCGTCCTCGCCATCTCGAACCAGGAGGTCGGCCTCAACATCCTCTCCGAGTTCATCATCGGCTACATGAAGCCCGGCTCGGCGACGGGCATGATGCTCTTCAAGACGTTCTGCTACATGATCGTCTACCAGGGCCTCTCGTTCACCGGCGACATGAAGTTCGGACACTACATGAAGATTCCGCCCAAGGACATGTTCGTCGCCCAGGTGTCGGCCATTGTCGTGTCGTCCTTCGTCGTCCTCGGCGTCCAGGAGTGGGTCTTCTCCAACATCAAGAACATCTGCACGCCCGAGGCCGAGAGCAACTTTACCTGCGCCAACGTCATCGTCTTTGGCACCGCCTCGCAGATCTGGGGCCTCATCGGCCCCGCCGTCGTCTTCTCGCCGGGCAAGATGTACGGCAAGCTGCTCTGGATGTTCCTCGCCGGCGCCCTCGCACCCGTCATTGTCTGGCTCATCGCCCGCAAGTGGCCGCGCTCCTTTATCCGCCTCATCAATGTGCCCGTCATCCTCACCGGCACGGGCCTGATCCCTCCGGCCACGGGCATCAACTTTACCTCGTGGGCCCTCATCGGCTTCGTCTTCCAGTACCTCGTGCGCAGGCGCCGCACCGGCTGGTGGACGCGCTACAACTACATTTTCGGCTCGGCCCTCGACACGGGCACGGCCCTCGCCGGCGTCGTCATCTTCTTCACCGTCGTCTTCCCGCAGGGCAAGAACCAGGCCTTCACCCAGGGCAACTGGTGGGGCAACACGGCCCAGTACGAGACGGCCGACGGCTTGGGCACCCCCTACAAGCAACTCGCAGCGGGCGAGAGCTTCTACCCGGCGCCAAAGGACTTCCGCCCCGCTCCCGTGCACTAGAGGAGCCCGCGAGCCAAATGCGGGCGACGACGACGCTCGCGCGCCGGCCAAGATGCTGCTATACCCTCCAAGAGAGCCAGCGACCTCGTCCCGACCGACTGGCGGCAGGGAAAGAGGCCGCGCTCTTGGCCACCATCTTCGGCAGCGCGCCGCCCCATTCGCTCTGGCCCATCTTGCGGCCAATCGCCTGGGAACCTCACCAGCGTGTTGTCTGATTTGCTGTCCTCTCGACGCCCCTCGCCATTTTCTTTACGCTCTGTAACGCACGCGTCCCAGTTCCTTCCTGCACGATCATCTCATGCTTGCTCCGGCAAAAAGGTCAATTCATATCCTGTCACGCACATCCCTCTCGTCTTGCGACCTTGTCGTCGTGTCGTCGTGTCGTCCGTGCGTCGGCGCGGATGCTCGACTGTTCTCGGCATGCAGCTGATGGCGCGGTGGAGCTTGGTCCTGTTGAGCCGCCGCAGTCGTCCGCGTAGCGCGATATGGCAGACCCCGAGGGTCAATGTGGTGGCGAGATGGCCAGCCGGAGCTCGAGGCCGGCACGGGGAGATGCTAGCCGATGATGGGTCGTGGTCGGCCGAGGTTAACGTCGGCGAGACGAGGCGAGGCGATGAGGACGTGGTGTGTGTACGATCCGACCGACTGTGCGCGTAAGAGAGGGTCGGGTGAGGTACATAGGGACGGTGTGCGTCGTTCGTTCGTTCGGTATCGGTCTCGTCGATACCTCGCTATCGAGTCAAGCTCAGCTCGGAACGGTACGGTACGGCGTGGCGTGGCGTCGAGATCGGGGAGGTGGCGTTCTCGGCTTTGGATGCGGCGGCGAATCGTCAGTGGTACTTGCTTGCCGCCTGCTCGGTGGTCGGCTAGTCCGCGAACGTCGGGATGACAGTCTAGACGGGCTAGGGCGTTCCGGACCTCGCTGCGGTTGCATCCGGGATGCAAGCTGGGTAGAAGACGACGACGACGAACGATGAGAGTACTTGCCGTCCGAAGTTACACACCCTGGTCGCTTTTCGTCTGCGGCGACCGTGGCGACGGAAGCGCCAAGGATGCGTTACAGACGCTAGAGACTACCCCCTTTCTCAACGACCCGGTGGATCCTCGAGCGCATCAACGTCGATGGGCGCCGCAAAAGTACCTGGCAACGGCTGCGACGACGACGACACTTGCGACGGTGCAGCCGAGGCGGCGGTACGGCCGAGCAGAGGATGGTGTGGCTGTGGGATACCGTTGACGTGGACCGACTGGCCTCGCGGCGTGATGCAGTGTACCGTCTCGTTGCCCGCGCCATCGACGCGGCGGATGAAGGTCTCCTCGTGCCCGTTGACGATGCGTGTGCTCCGCGTCTCGCTCGTACCCGCCAACCCACCACTGCCAAAACCGGCCGAGCTGCTGCTGCTGCTGCTGCTGCTGCTGCTGCTGCTAAAGGTGGAAAACATGCCGCCCAGTCCAAAGCCGCCACCACCGCCGGCGGCACCTGCCATGCCGCTCATGAGACCGGCACCGAAGGGCGAGCCGAATTCGTCGCCGCCACCTCCTCTCGCCGCACGGGGCGGCGCGCCGAATCCGAATCCGCCAAAGTCGGCCATCCTGCGGTGGTTGGCCATAAAGGGATCGTCGGCCATGAACCCGGCACCAAAGGGCGAGAAGCCGGCGCCCATACTGCCGCCGCCGCCTCTCTGCGAGGCCGATCCACGGCCACCGGCGGCGGAGGCGAACTCGTTTTCAAACATCATGTTGAACAGCTCAAAAGGGTCGAAGCCGTCCGGTCCAAAGGGGCGGCCGGCGCGGCTCCTCTGCGCCCTCCTGGCCGAGTCGGCGGCCGACTCCCAGGTGAAAGAAAAGGCGCTGCCGTCGGGCGAGGTGCCAAAGTGCTGTCGGTCGGCGGATGCGAACTCGTCCTGCGCCGCGTCGTAGTCTGCCGAGGTGAAGGACGGGCCTGCGCCGTTGCGGCCGCGCCGGTTGAAGGTGTCGTATTCGCGGCGCTTGCGCTCGTCAGAGAGGGTCTCGTAAGCCCTGTCGGGGCGGCGGAGCGGCGAGGGGACAGGGCAGGGGTGCATGCATGGGTCAGCATCGTGTGGCGCCAAGTAGAAGGCAAGGAAGGATGAACCCAGGCCGAGGCACCCGACGCACTCACTCTGCAATGATCTTGAAGCGGGCGGTCGCAGCCTCCTTTTGTTCTGGCGGCGCACGGTCTGGATGGGATTTGAGGGCCTGCGGTGGGGGAGAGAGGCAGGCAGAGAGTGGCGATGGTAGGCGGCGAGGGTGGTCAGTGGCGCTTGCCGGGTACGAGGGTCGTGGCGGGTGAGCAGGCTCACCTGCTTCTTGTAGGCCGACTTGATCTGTGCTGGGGAGCAGCAGTGGTCGAGGCCGAGGACGTCGTAGGGGTCTGCGTCGGGGAAGCGCTGCATGTCGGTACTCGCTCTTGAGCAGTGTGATGAGAGGGAGAAGCTGGTTGCGCGATTCGCGGTGGTCCGATTGAGGGATAGAGGCAGGGAAGGGAAAGAGTGCTGGGCGGGGAGCGGCGGTGCCAGTCGGGGTGGTGCTGCGAGCTTGGTTGGCGATGAGCGGGGTGGGGCGATTGAGCAGAAGTAGTAGGTGCTGTCGTCAAGCAGGCTAGGGTATGCGTTGACGGGCCAAGTGCGGGGGGGCAGACGATGATCGAGGTGGCGAGCGAGGATCCAGCCAGGCTCAAGGTTCAAGGCAGCAGGCAGAGCGGGCGGCTGCGGACGGAAGAGGCCGCTGCTCTGTCCTGGCCAGGCCTGGTCCGAGCGGTGCCGCTCTGGTGGCCGACGCCCGAAATGCCAGGCAGGCCAGGCGGGCCTCGGACCCTGCAGCTCCGAATCGGGAATTCAATAAAGTCGAGCTGCGACATCGGCGATTTGAATCGGGCAGCATCGTCGCTCGACGCAACGCGGCCAGCAAAAGGGTCCGAGGAGCGGGTTGAACATCTAACGCGCCAGCCAGCCTGGGCTGGCGGGGACGAGGAAACAAAAAAAGTCTCCGAGCGGGCCCCATCTGCTGGTGGGGACCCTGCATACGGAATCCCAGGCAAGCAGCAGACAGGCGCCAGCATGCCCGGCCAGGCCAGGCCAGGCCAGGCCAGGTCGGGTTGGCCGTCGAGCGAGCCATGGCTGCCTCGCTCTGCCTTCCTTCGCCTCTCTTCGCTCCTCGACCCCCCTTGGCCCCCACTCCCTTCCTTCTCTCGACACCGCCATCGACACAATGCCGAACCCCATCCCTTGCCCCGACCACGACGGCGGCGGCGGACTCGACTGCTCCCCGCTCTCGCACCTCTTCTACCAAGTCCGCACCGACGCATCCCCGCACTCGGGCCCGTCACCGTTCATCACGCTCCTCTCCACCTTTGACGCCGCCTCATCATCGCGCTGGACGCTCTCCGCCGTCGTCGTTGCGGCGTCCTCCTCCTCCTCCTCCTCCTCCTCCTCCTCCTCCTCCTCCTCCTCCTCCTCCTCGCCATGGCAGCACACGGCCTGCTTCACCACCGACCTCCTCCCGCTCCCCACCTCGCCAGGCGAGCTCGCCGAAATCGTTGCCGCATTCACGCCCCACGCCTCCGCCCTCTCCGTCTCGGTCCCATCCAAGGTGGCCCTGCTGCCCCCCCATCGCTGGTCCCGCATCGGCATACACGTCGATATCGCCTCACCCGACGCGTCCTGGCCACGTCTCAGGGCGTACCGCGTCGAAGGCCAGCATGCCATCGACCTCGCAGGCAGAGCCATGGTCTCGGTGCGTACCATGCCCACTTCGGCACATGGACCCACGGTACTCTGCGCCCTCGGGCCTATCCGTCCTGCATCCTGGCTCGCTCCGGTCTGACCCCCTCTCGCTCCCTTGTTCCCATGCCTCCTTATCCCCCTCCCTCCTTCTCCCCCTCCCTCCTTCTCCCCCTCCCTCAGATGCACACCGCGGCCATCCCTCAGACGCCCACGAGCGAGGTACACGGCCTCCGCATCGCACTCGACCAAGCCCGCGCCGCACACCGCCAGGACCTGGACAAGTACCGCCGTCTCCTCTCTTCGTCCTCGACGATGGCACCGACATCCCGTCCCGTCGGCATCGCGGGCGGGGCAGCCTCTCTGAGCCAACGCGGCCTGTTGGCCAATAGCGACCTCGTTCCGCCCTCGAGCGCACCCACCTCGGTCGCGGGGTCGAGCAACGACGGGTCTCCCCCTGCCAAGAAGCTGCGGACCAGGGACCAGCATAGCGAATCGCCCTCGGCCGCAAGGAGGGGCAGGTGGATCGGTTCCCTCGTCAACCCGGCCCGCGTCTTGTGAGTAGTGCAGCGTCGCGAGACGAGGAGAGGAAGGAGTGGCAGCGCCGCCTTTGTCGCTCGTCGTTGCCGATTCCTTCTTGCGCAGCAGCTGAAACCCCCTCTCCATCTCCATCTCGTACTCATCCCATCTAATCCCATCCCAATTCCTTCCTCCCCGCCTCGACCCGCCGCCACTGCGCCGACAGCCGCGACAAACCGGGAGAGAATGACGATTTCGTTGATCCGGACGAAACCCTCTGATCCTCACGCCGTCCCTGCTTCGATTCCAGTCTCCAGCTCCAGCGCAGCGCAACTGAACCCAACCACGCCCCGCATCGTGACCCATCTATACCCGCTCGCGCGCTCGCTCCGACCCGAGCCGCTGTACCATTCCCATCCAGTCACGGTCCCACGACACCTGTATCTCTAGCGCAGCCGCCGCCATAGCATCCTATACCCACCCACTCGTCCCCGTCTACACTGTACCACCATCACCACCACCAGCAGCACTAGCAGCGGTACCGTCTTCATCTTCGAAACCACCATTGCCACCCAAGGTGCCCCTACCGCCAAAACTGGCGTTGAACTTGAGCAGGGTATTGATGTCGCGCACCCAGTCGTCTTCGCCTCGATCCGAATACCGTTCCCCCGTCGTCGTTGTCCCCGTCGTCGTGGTTGTCCCCGTCGTCGCGGTTGTGGACAAAGGAGGGGCGGGAGAGTGCGGGCGGTTGACGCAGGGGATGGGAAAGGGACTCATCGAGACCTGGAGGTATTCGCCCGGTTGTAGCAGCTTCGAGATGCGTCCGTCGACGGTCAGTTCGGCGGGGGAGCGTGACTTGGACGAGATCTGGAGCGAGTCAGAGGCAAGATGAGTTCCACTGAGGTGAGCGGCATGTTCAGTCGTCGAGATCGTATCCACCGTCACCGTTGCGAGGACGGATGGCACGGCATGACACGACACGGCAGGGCAGGGCAGGGCAGAGACGACCTCCCCTCACCTTTAGCTGGATGACCGAGTCGCTGGGCAGCAGCACCGTTCGGAAGCTCAGCGAACGCGGGCAGATGGGCGTCAGCACCAGGCTCTGCACCGATGGATGCACAATCGGCCCGCCCGCAGAGAGCGAGTAGGCCGTCGAACCCGTCGGCGTCGCGATAATGAGCCCGTCGGACTGTCGATCGGGAGCAGGCAGAAAGAGAGGGCCCAAAGGTCGCGGCGATGCGGTCAGCGAGGCGTGCGTCATCTCCCCTCCTCCCTCTCTCCTTGGCCGCACTCACGATGGCCTGGGTGAGGTGCTGCCCGTCGACGTACGCGTCGATCATGGTCATGTGCGGCTCCCGCCCGCGGTGCAGCGCCACCTCGTTCATCAGGTGGACATCTAGTAGCGCATCGGAGAGCGAGGACACGGCCAGGCAGGGCAGGGCAGGATGTGCCATCTCGCTGTGCATCAGCTGCGCTGCTCTGCTCCGTCATCAACGAAACGAGAAAACTGCGGTCCCCGCCTTGGCCCCCACTCACCGTAGCAGCCGCCTCCGTCCCTCATCTGGTCCATCTGGCAGAAAGCCTCGCCGTCCTCGCGGTGGCTGCTCTGCTTGAGGCGCATGCGAAGCAGCAGCGTCACGTTGCCGTCGACCATCTCGCGAAACGACTGCTTGAAGTTGGAGATGTCGTAGGGCAGCAGGAAGCCGAGGGTGCCCATCGAGAAGCTCAGGACGGGCGGCACGGCGTCGCGGTCAAAGAGGCTCGAGACGTGCAGGATGGAGCCGTCGCCGCCGAGGGTGATGACAAAGTCGGTCTTTGCGACCAGGTCGGCCTTGTCGGCGGGGCTGGCGGGTACCAGGTTGGCAAAGGACGTGGCGAGCGAGGCCTCGTTGCGGTCGATGACGTCCTGCTCGACGATGACATTGAGCTCGGGGTACTCTTTCTCGATGTGGCTGCGGAGCGCGTGGAGCGAGGAGTGGTGAAGAGGACACGGACAAGGAGGGAGGAGTGGTGAAGAGGACACGGACAAGGAGGGAGGAGTGGTGAAGAGGATACGGACAAGGAGCGAGGGACCGAGTCAGCCACCAACGGGCGGAGGTGGGAGAGCCTGTCGTGCGCACAACGCGAGGCGGACGCACCGAATGATCTGGCCCATGGCCTTTGTCGCGCGCTCATCGTTTGCCTTTTTGACGATGAGCAGGTTGGAAGGCTTGCCGATCCAGGAAAAGGTGTGATTGCCTCTGGCGGGAGGGATACGGACAGGGTGAGAGGATGGGCGTGTCAGAGTGCGATCTTGTCGCGGGCCGGTTCCGGGTGCGCGGGGCGTGACGACTCACGCATAGCTGCTTCCGACGCGGGTGGTGATCTTGTTGCCTCTTCGCGGGGGCAGCACCTTTGCCAGTCTAAGGGGCGGCGATGAGAGAGGGGGGAAAGGGTATCAGGACGTCAGAAGGGTGCTACCGAGGACGTCGGATGGGAAGAGCAGGGGTCCCTCCTCGAATGCTCACCTTCCTGCTGGGCCCACCTCGACGTCGACCTTGTCTGGCAAGTCTTTGAGCGTGCGCCGTGGCCCACGCTGCGTGTCATGGGCCGAGGCCGCCGTGGAGGAAAAGTGGCGTCGGTGCGATGGCAGACAAGCGCGACATGGTGTACGCAGTGTGGTGCAGGCGATCGAGCGTGGCGAAGAAGATGACGGTGACGACGGCAGCGAGGACGACGAGGACGAGGCCGAGGCTAACTGTATGACTCGATGCACGGCGCTCGGGGTGCGGCCAGCGGCGCGGGCCAGGCTGGCTGGCAAGGCCGGGCTGAGCATAGAGAAGAGGGCGAACGGATGTGTCTACGCTGCCTCGAGATCAAGGTCACGGCGATATTCGTATGAAGCGTTGCGGGGTGGGCGATGCGATGGCTGGTAGTGGAAGGCGGTGGTGGTGGCAAGTTGAGAAGCGGCGTCGATTCCATGTTGGCCCGCGCAGCCTCAGCCTCACCCCGCCCAAAGCACAAAACCTCCACACGCGCCCAGGCCGCACTCCCCGATTCCCACCCCACCCCCGATCTGCGCGGGCTGCGTTGCGGCGTCGCCAACGTCGGCTCGGCCCTCTCGTTCTGCCCACCTTTGCCCTGCCCTGCCCTGCCCTGCCCTGCCCTGCCCTGCCCTGCCCTGCCCTGCCCTGCCCTGCCCTGCCCTGCCCTGCCCTGCTCTGCCCTGGCCGAACCAGTTGACCTCACAGCCACGCCATCAGCATCGGCACTTCTGACTGCAGCATGACAACCTTGCCTTCTGGCATAACGGCTCCGGCTGGCCTTGGCCAGGGACGAACTCCAGCTCGCAGCCTCTCCCCCTCGTCCTCGGGCCAATCACGTCTACTAGCCTACGCGATAGCTCCGTTGGGCCGAACACGGGGAGCGCGGCCAGGTACAAAGGCCTAGAGGGGCAAGTTAGGTACTCGCCACAAGCGGTCTTCGACATCGGCTGCAGCTGAACCGTCGTCAATCCTTGCGCCCACCACGGCTGTGACCCTCGAGATGTTCGAGCCAGTTGCCGCCTTCGAACCCTTCACCCGGCCTCAGAGGTTCGGGCAGGTACTCGTCTCCAAACTCGGGGCTCTTGTACGTCTCCACGGCACCCGCTCCTTGACGTGAAGAGCCAGCGCCGCCGCCAACGCGTGCCTCGCGCATAGCCCTCTGGCCGTAGTCGACTCCCTTGGCACGCAGCGCCTCGTACAGCTCGTCCGGGAACGACTGCCAAGGCTCATGCGTCCGCAGACTCCTCCTGCGCGCAGACGGACGCCCGCGCTCAAAGGGGGGCATCCTGATGCGCTGCCGAGCCAGGCTGCATGACCGCCATCCGTCGACAGGTGCACGGACACAAACGGCCAACGTCAGTTCCATGTCCGCGCAACATGGCCGTCTCTCTCCGCGATTGATCGATGTTCCTTCGCTGACCCTGCACCCCCAGCCTCGGTACTCACTGCTTCAAGGCCTCTTCGACGTCCTCGAGGGCTGCCTTTGGAAACTCGATCATACCTGCGCTGCAAGCTGGTGCCAGAAGCGTCATGGTGACAGCCGCGGCCATAGCGACGAGGGCAGTCCACTTCATGATGCAGGCTGCGAAGGGTTCAGGTGAGGGGGTAAGTGAACAGTACGAGAAAGACAGAGGAAGAGCGAGAAGGGAGATAGTGCCGGCCTGAGGCAGAGTGAGGATGGGGTGCGGGAGGGCGTATCGAGGTTACGGCTCGACGTCCAGCTACTTATGCGTCTTGTGCGCCTTACGAAGAATCATCGTCGTCCAAGGGCAACGGCGACACCCACTCAGCGCGGACAGGCCAAGCAAGACCGAAGCTACCCATCATTGAGGTCGTCAAGGTCCCCGAAGCGTCCCGCGGCCCCGCATTCGTGTTTCACGCTCGCCGCCGCCGCCGCACCTCCTCTTTTCACCGACCCACCCGCGGGGCGCAGGGGAATGAACGATACCGTATGGCGTACCTCGATCCTTCTCTCTCTGCCTCTCTGATCGATGCATTCGACGGGACCGTGTGGGTACACCATAGCCTCCGCTCGCCCCGAGACCCGCCACATATTGATGCAACAATCGGTGAGTCATTTCGCCAGCCAGCGAGTCCTCGCCTCGAACGGCAAAGCACCTGGACAGGGTTGCGAGCGTCGGGAAGTGCGAGACGAAAAAGGAGGCTCCCTAGGTGACTGACGGAGCTCGCCTGGCCCGCACGCGGGCCCAACACGGTAGCTTGCGAAACGTGGAAGGGGATACCGCCAGCTCATCCTCCTCGCGCGCCTCCGTCTCTGGATCCGCAGCGTCTCGAGGCGCTGCTGGGGAGGGCCCACCTCACCGACGCTGACCGCCGGCATGCTGTTCGAAGTAGGACAGGAGATCGTCGCCATCACGGTCGTACTGAGCCGATGCCGACGGCTCAGAGACGTAGATGCGTCTCCAGGGGTGAAGTGGGTGTGTGGGCGAGATGAGCTCCGCTGGATCGACTGGGTCCGTTGTCGAGATGGCCGTGTCGCCGAGGGGAGAAACGCGTCGAGGCTGTGAGGACACCTTGGTGTCGACGGTTGAGTGGGGGTGCTCCAGTGGACCTGGAGTCTCCGGATGGCCGACCGAGTCGGGTGCGAGGTGGTCGGGTGGCAAAGAGGGGTCGGGGGCCAGAGGCGGGGTGCGACCAGGCGCCTTGGCCTGTTGACTGGTCGCGACGCTGCTTTGACCCTGCAGAGCTGGGCCGAGCACCTCGACGGGCGGAACCTCTCCCCCTCCCTTCTTCCGCGCTCCAGCGACATCAGCCGCAGGAGCAGCAGACGATGGAGCAGTCACCTTTCCTCGAGGCTCGCTCCTGTGCACCGCGCGGTAGAAGAGCCCGCGCCTGCGCAGCATGCGGTAGAAGACGGGTGGGAAGTCGGTGCCGGGATCCGTGCCGACGAAGAAGTTGCCGTCGGGCATGATGCCGAACCGGTACGGTGCCATGTTGGGCTCCCATTCGGCGATCCTTGCCAGCACCTCGGCGTAGGCGGGTTGGAACCTGCCGTCGATGTTGACGCGCACCGCTCTGGTCGCGGGGAGCGGCATCAGGAGCAGCGTCAGAGGGGTGAACCATGCGGTGGCCAGGGCGACGACGAGACAGCGGTGCCACTTCATGCTGCTGCAGATTATGTATGATTGAGGAGGATGAAGTCCAGGTGGAAGATTGGATGGGTCGAGGTGGGCACGGTGGTGGGACGAGGACGGGACCGTGTCGATGGGACAAGGCGCCGGCGGGCTCTTATACCCTCCTTGCACCGCATCCGTACCGCACACAACAGAGCTCAGCATCGTGCCAGATCGATGTGATTACGGAAAGAGCCCGAAATTGAGCGGCCCACACGGGGCGAGTCGCCACACCGAGGGTTCCACCGAGCGGGACAGAGCAACGCATCGATGAGTTTGTGGACCTACGCCCCGAGCAGCACCTCCGAACCTTTGCAGGATCGAAACGAAGTCAACGAACGCTGCTAAGCACTTGGAGCGAAAACGCTCCAGTCGTGGCGACGAGGTAGGGCGGGGACGCAATCCGGTGACAGGTCCCTCGGCGGGACCCTCAGACGAGTCTCGTTCGAGCTGGCTCGCGGCGCAGCCAGTGCCTTCGTAGTGGCCAGCGAGGAGATGGTCGACGAAGGTATAAAGGGCCTGCTCGGCCCTGCGAGATTCATGACCTCCCGACAACCCATTCCATCCCCCCTCACTCGTGTCTTACCTCATCTCCATCCTGCCAGACGATCTCCCACTCTTCTCTCCCCATCTTGCAAAATGACTCGCTCTGACCCCACCCGCCAGCGCTCGACGGGACTCTTTTCCCTCGCCATCCTCCTCTTGCTCGTCCTGTCCATCCAAGTGCCCTCGACGAGCGCACAGGGGCTCTTCTCAAGCTCCGAGAGCATCTTCAAAAAGGTAACCACCCCGCTCGAAGGGGTGGTTGAGCAGCGCATGTCCGACTACAGCCACTTTGCCGCGGCGCCGCCGACCATCGAGGCGCTGCGCGCGCGCGAACCGCGTTTCGCCGAATCCCTCCCGCAAACCCGCCTGGCCATTATCGACAAGATCTGGTATCCCGGTCGCTTCGAAGCGTCCGGCCAGCTGACGATCGCACACCAGAACGTCTTTGGCATCCGACGCGAGCTGGACGAGGTCAACGCCGCCCTCAAGAGCCGGATCGAGTACCGAAGGTTCACCTACTACCGCGACGTCCTCGATGAGGCAGAGGGACGAGTCGGCAATATCCGCCAGGTCGTGTCCAACCTCCGTGACCTGGCTGGCAGGGTGCCGCGTGGTGAGAACCGCATTCGAGCGCGCGGCGCAATCAACCAGGCTGCGGATGAGCTGGCAGAGGTCGCCACTGCCCTCGAGCGTCAGATCTGGCAGCGCATCAACATGATCGAGTACGCCCGCGTCGCGGCCGAGGGCAGGGGCGAGGACGTCCTCAAGCTGAGCCACCTGACAAAGGACCAGGTCTCCCAGCTCAAGCGCATGGCGAGGCAGGGCGACCGCTGGCGCGGCCCGGACTCTCCGTGATACCTGGTGCGAAGGTATTGGGCCGCGAGCAGGAGGGCGACGCAGAACTCCTCCGGTCTTCGGATGCCCAACACAAGGCAGCCAGCTTGATCGGATCAGCGAGACTCACCTGGTATCGCCGCGCTAGCCACGGCGATCGCCGGCCTATCCATACAGGAGCGCCTCCTCGGTAGATGTAGGGAGCAGAGTAGAGCAGGCTCTGGCACTTTTATCCTTGTTCCGCATCCTCTCATGTGTGTTCGTCGGCGAGCTGGCATCAAGGAGACTGGACTGGTCGACCGACTGACTCGACTCGGCCATGTTCTGCTGCGGCGCGGCGATACAGTTTCTCGTCGCCTGCTTTGCCGACCCTCGAACCCGGCGACGATGTGCACGCAGGTGGACTCCGAAAGCATGGCAAGGTCGCGGCGACGTCCGCTATGCCAATCGTCATGGCGGCAGTCAGACGCGCTACGGCACCGCCGACGACGACAGCCGCGACGCCGACGCCGTTGGCGAGCACATCTTCATCACCCACGACGTCCATGACGACGGATCAGGCGTCGAGGTCGACGAAGAGGGCAGTAGGATGCGCCGATCGCTGCAAGTGACGTTCTCAGAGTGCGTCGGGACGTTCGAGAAGGTTTCGGCGGCCCGCGGGGAGGAGCTCCGGCCCCGATCGGATCGAGGTGTATCCGAGGATACGTCTGAGCAGAACGACGCCGCCGCCGCCGACCGAGAGACGGTGGAGGAAATGGTCGAGCAGCTCATCGAACGGCTCTACCGTACCAGTCGAGACTTGTTCGCGTACCGCCACGTCGAGACCTCGGTTTCCCTCGGCGATGAGTGACGGGAGCGATCGAGGGCGCTGGCATGCCTTCGTCCCCTCCCACGGCCGCAATCCATCACCTGAATCGGAGGAAACGTGCGCCCCACGTCGTCGTACAGCGGCGAGAGCGGCGGCCTCGCTCTATCCGCCTTCCACCACGCAACTTCGACTTCGACTTCGACTTCGACTTCGACTTCGACTTCGGCTCGACCGGTCCGAGCCCATCCCCCATCCCCCGTCCCGTGTACCCAACACGTCCCTTTGTATGGAGCAAAAGCACGGTGATGAAGGAGCAGCGGAACGATGACAGCGGCAGTGCGAGCAAGCAAGAAAGAAAGGAAAAGAGAGAGAGGGCGGAGAGGGGAGGAATGCAGTTCTACAAGGGTCTGTTCCCGCCATGACGGTCGCTGAGAGCTGGCGGGATCGGAACCAGCGAGCAGCGAAAGAAGGAGCGAATGTACGATACGACCGACAGCGGCCGTGCAGGCCACATCGAGGATCTGCGAGGACGGGCATGTGGGCCCTCGCTACTCTTCGCCCTCGTCGACAAAGATCTCCCTGCATCATCAGAGGTCCCGAATGGAGTCGGATCTCGAGGTCAGCAAACCTGCCTGCCGTGCTCCGTCCATCCGTCCCTTGGCCTGGATGCCTGCTCGACGACGACGTCGACTCACCGATACTTTTCCAAGATGGTCTCGACGGCGCGGCACTGGAAGCTCATGTCCTGCAGGTGCATTCCGCCACCGCCGCCGGCGCCGCCCGCCGTGCCCGCAGCGCCGCCGTTGGCGCTCCCGTCCATTCCAGCGCCGCCGCCGCCGCTCGATGCCCCCGTCGGCGGCGGGCTGAGGAGCGTCGGCCCGAATACGATGGCCAGGTTCGACGCCGACATCTGGTTGTGGTGCTCTTCGGACTTGATGCTGCGCAAGGTGAAGCGGCGGGCAGAAGACATGGTCAGCCTCATCGATGTCGGCACGCTGCGACGACGACGACGACGACGACGACGACGACGACGACGACGCCGCCGCCTCTCTACTCACCGGTCGAGGTGTGCCATGAGGAACTTCAACGTGGCGTAGTTGGCGTCCGGCAGCTCATTGACGCGCTCGTGCAGGCGAATGTGGCGCAGCCGCTCGTTCTCCACCTTGGCCGCCTCGATGAAGCCGGCGTAGAGGTCGTGGGTGAGCAACGGCTCGGGCAGCTCGCGGAACCAGAGCTTGAGGCAGCCCGCGACAATGTTGATGTCGCCCATGGCCTCGGCGTCGTCGGCCAGCTGGACGGTCTCCCAGTCGTCGTTGAACTTGGCCTTGAGCCGCTGCACCTTGGACGTGGTGCCGCTCAGCCGGTAGATGCCCATCGACGTCAGGCCGTTGGCCTCGATGGCCTCGGCACACTTTTCGAGGATCGGCGGCACGTCGACGCCGTCCCGCGCCATCTGGTCGGCCAGGTCGACGCCGAAGATGGGCCGCGTCGGCGCCGAGCGGGCCTGCGCGCCCTTCGAGGCCGATCCACCCGCGGTCCCGGCGTTGGGCGACATGACCGAGGGCAGGAAGCCCTCCTCGTAGGGCCCTTCGCGCCGCGGCCCCCGGTAGCTCGATCCGTGGACCACCTGGTAGTTTTGCAGGTACGACTTGAAGTCGGCGCGGTTGTCGATGGCCTCGACGGCGGCCTTGAGGCCCGGTGCGACGGCCGTCGCCGCCGACGGATCCGTCCCCACGGGGCTGATGGCCATGCCGTCGTTGAGCAGCGTGCTCTCGAACAGGAAGGCGTACCGCGCCAGGTGGTACTGGGTGCCGTTGTCGATCTCCTCGGCGCTCTCCTTGAGCGAGCGCAGGATCCGGGGCAGCTGCAGGTTGAAGTATTCCTGCCGGATGCCCTGCGTGCTGAGCACCTCTTTGCGGAAGGCGTCGCTGGCGTTGGACGTCCGCGCGCGGATCTCTTCCTCCTGCTTGAGGATCTGCTGCGGGTTCTTGTTCTTGAACAGCAGGCCGCTCTTGCCGATGGCCTTGCCCAGCGTCCGCTTGCCTCCCGGCGCCAGCTCGCCGCCCTTGGTCGACTCGCCCGACTTGAGCAGCAGCAGGCGCTCGAGGTCCTCGGCGGTGGCGTCGAAGCGCGCCCGGGCCTTTTCGACGCCGACCTCTGCGTCGGTGAGGTTCTTTTCGAGGCGCTGCCCCGTCTCCTTTGTCTGCTTGCGGCTCTTGTCGACCTCGCGGGCGAGGTTGTTGAGCTCGTCGCTCATCTCGGTCAGCTTCGAGGCGAAGCGGATGCGGTTGTCGGCGACGGCCTCGTGCGTCTTCATCATCGACTGCCACGAGCCGACGTAGCTGCCGGCCTTTGCGTCGCTCATCGAGTAGGTTTCGAGCGTGGAGCGCGCGAGCTTGGTGAGGTTGCGGGCGTACTCCTCCTCGATGGCCGCGCGCTTCTTGAGAAAGGTGGCGGCCTCGCGCGCCGAGACCATGCTCTGCTTGATGCGGTCAAAGAGCAGGGGCATGCCGCAGTCGATGTCGCACAGGGCGCGCAGCATGCCTTCGTCGAACGATGTCGGGACGATCTCGTCCATCGGTGGGCCGAGCGCTGCGGCTCCGCCAGAGCCGACCGCGCCGTTGCCGTTGCCGTTGCCGCCGGCGCTGCTGCTCCCGACCACGGGTCCGCCCAGCGTGGCAGGTGCGTGGATCATGCCATTGGAGCCGACGGTGCCGCCGGTGTGGCTAATGTCTGCGAAGCTGGTCGACGAGGCCATGGCACCCGGGGTGCCGCCGACGCCTGCCGAGCGCGAGGTGGCGGTCGAGGTGTCTGCGGCGGACGGAGTGACGGCTGCGCTGCCGTAGCCGCCGCCGATGGTGTCGACGTAGCTGGAAGGGCTCTGCGGCGCGTTTGTGGCGGCGCTGTTTGGGTCATGGTGGACGGAGCGTACCGACTGCAGGCTGGGTCTGGATTCGGGGTTGTCGTTGGCCGACATGCGGTAGGGCGAGGGCTGGAGGCCGTGGTCGGCGGCGTCGTCGCCGTAGGACTGGCGGTAGGCCTGCTGCTGGTGCTGCTGCTGGTGCTGGTGCTGGTGCTGCTGCTGCTGGTAGGGATAGGTGGCGGTGTGTTGCTGAGTTTGGTGGGGAAGGGGCTGGGGCTGGTGCTGGAGGTGGTGGTTGGGATGCTGGTAGCCTCCAGAGAAGTCGGTGAGGCTGGGCGACGAGTGCTGTGCCGAGGAGCCGTGGTAGTTTGCCTCGTTGGAGAGGTCCGAGTGCGCGCCGGGCGAGGTGCCGAAAGCGACTTGGTGGGGATGGAGGCCCGGGCCGAGGCCGAGACCGCTACCGTGGGCGGATGCGCCATTGTTGGCGTCGGCCACTGCCGGTGAATTGAGCTGGCTGGCGGGCGCAGACAAATTGCCTGTGGCCGTGCTCCCTTCTGCTGCTGCTGCTGCTGCTGCTGCTGCTGCGCTACTTGTCGTTGCCCCACCCATCCATGCGCCCTCGCCCGCCACGGGGCTCGAGTAGGACTTCATCGGCTGCGCTTGCGGATGCTCCCGGTCGCGGATCCGCTGCTCAATCGAGGGGAGGATCCGGTGGGCGTACGACGTCGATGGAGGAGAGGCTGGCGCCGGATCAAGAGCCAGCAGAGAGGCGCCCTGCGGTCCTTCGTACGAGGAGCCAAAGTCGGGATCGTCGTCGTTGTCGTCGTCGTCGTTGTCGTCGTCGTCGATGTCGCCGCCGCCGTGGCTGAGTCGACGGTTATCGGCCAAGCTGGCCTTCTCGAGGCCAGAAGAGCAGGTGGTGGCAAGCGGCGCAGCACCCCGGAAGAGGGCGTCGCTCGGAATGGGCCGTGCTGCGGGAATGGTCGGCTGGTGTCGCTGCCGTCGAGCTCGATAGGTGATGCCACGTCTACTACTGCTGCTGCTGCTGCTGCTGCCGCTAATGCGCCGCTCGGACGGTGCCGCTGCTGTTCCGGGTCGGATCGTGATCCGGCAAGGCGGTGCTGCGGGACCTGGGCGACGGTGGGGGGTGGGAGGGCGTCGGTGGCGAGACGAAAAGGATGGACGGACCGGCTCCGATGGTCGACGATCAACAATGCAACAAAGGAGCGTGTGGGGCGTATGCACGCAGCAGCACCGACGCCAGCCAGCCTAGCCTGCTGCGAGCTCAGCCACGTCGCCTACCTGGTGGTGGTGGTGGGTGGCGAAAAGAAGGAGACACGCACGTGGCCCTCGATGCCTCTCTCTCTCGTTTCTGGTGGTGTCGTCGATGGTCGGATGTATGGTGCGCCGAGGTGGGTGGGTCAACCAATTCAAGGTGTGTGTGTGATAGAGATGCAGCTAGAGGCTGGCGAGAGGTGAGAAGCTGTCCCGCAAACGTCACCGCCGCTACCCGCTACCCGCTGCGCCGCGGCTTAGGCCGACGCAAATCCCCCCTACCCTGCCTCGCCTGGCCCACCACCCCCGGCCCGCCCCGCATCTACCCACCCACACACGCACCCACGCACGCACGCACGCACGCACACACGCACGCACGCCTCAGAGCAGGCAACGCACGGACCCTGGGCCTGCGCCTCGAGCTTAGCTCTGATTTGCCGCCGCCCTTCCCTCGCACATCGACGACCCTCTGCACCACCGCCGCCGCCGCCGCCATCACCACCACCACCTGCACCACCACCACCACCACCACCACCACCCCCACATGCCATGATACACGGCAATCCACGATCGGCGATCTACGATCCAACAGGCCATCGCACCTCTGCAACGGTGGCTGGACGGGACAGGTCATCGGCGGACCTCGTTGCAGGGCACTCGCATCGTACGTCACAGGCAGAGCAGGGCAGGCACAGAATCCGGAATCCAATGGCATCTCAACCCTCTAGCGCGCCTACTTGACACTGTCGAAAAAGGCCACTCGCTCCTTGAGCGTGGCGGCATGGCCTACCATCGTCGGGCCCTTGGAGGCGCCACCGACGCTGCCAGCGCCTGCAGCCAGCGCAGGGATGGCCGCGACTGGACCAAAGCTGCGCTTCTTCTCGACGCCCAGGCCCGGGATACCGGTGCTGGCGCGACCGACGCCCGCGCCGCCCGAGGCATCCGACCCTTCTTTGCGATTCGCGCTCCACCTCGACGCCACGCCCGACCCGGCACCGCCCTGGGTCGGAAGGCCGATTGCCTTCTTCGTCGGACTGGCCAGCGGGCTGGAGCTGCCGCCGCCGCGAGCGTCCTTGTCGGGCGAGGCAAAGCGGTTGGCATGCAGCTTCGACGGCGAAATGCGCCCGCTCTGGGGTCCGGCGGGAGCAGAGCTGGCGCCGATCGTGGCCGAACCCGGATTCGAGCTCGTCGAGGCGTTGCCGCCACGAAACTTGGTCGGCGACGATGACGACGGCGGCGACGAAGACGAGGCCAGCCACGAGCTTGGGGAGATGGCCTTGCTCGGCGTTGTCGGCAAGGCATCGTCGTCCGCTTCAGGGCCCTCTGCAGGCGTGACGCTTGCTGCCCGAGACCGGTCTTCCGCAGCGGCGCCTGCACCAGCGGTGCTGAGGTAGCTCAAGGCCCGCTGCCGGACGCTGTTGGCAGTGTTGGGCGATGGACCGCTGCTCGAGGAGCGTGACACTGCCGGGGATATCGCTGCGGGTGCAGAGAGCTCGTTGGCCGCTGCAGGGCTGGGGCTCCTACGGGCGCTCGACGAGGGGAAGTCGACCCGCGCGCTGGAAGCCGTGTCGCCGATGGGCGAGGCCTCGCGGCTCGAGTTGGTCGGCGTATTGCCGTTGCCGGCCTCGAGGAAAGCCGACGCTCGCTTGGCGATCTCACCCGTGTTTCGCTTGAACACCAACGGACGGGTCGGCGCGTCGACGGGCGGCCCAGCGCTGCGGGCGCCTGCGCCGGCAACGGCGCCAGGTCGGATGGTGTGCGCGTCAGTCGAGGTGGTGGCCGTGGTCGACTGCGAAGCACTCTGTCGGCGACGCTCGCGTCCGTCGTCTGCGGCCGTATCCTCTTCGCCTTCCTGTCCCACCGTCGCTCGCGAGGCTTGGCCTTGCGTGTTCGAGCGGCCCTCGACAAGCTCGCCCTCGGGTGCCGGCGCATAGTCGTCCCCGACTCGAGCAGGCGTTGATGGTTGAGGCTCTTGTGCGCCCTCGTCGTTGTCGTCCTGCACATCTCGCTCGCTCATCGAGCCGGCGAAGCTGCTGGCCCTGCTGCGGATGCTGGTGCCGTCCATCAGAGCCTTGAGCCTCTCCTCGACGCTAATCTCCCTCTTGGGGCGGTCAGCCGCGCTCTGACCACTCACGCCCGAGTGGATCGAGGCCTGGTCGCTGACCGCGGGGGAAGCCACCAGCGTCTGGCTGAACTTTCGCTGGTCTCCGGCCCACCTCCCCGGCGAGGCGATGCCGGCACGCACCTCAGGATCCGGGTAACTGCGCACGGGCGAGGTGGCGCCCGGCGAGAGGCGTCCGTCGTGCATCGGCTGTCCCAGCGCCGAAGTGTATCGAGGCCTGCCACCCGGGCTCGTGCTCCGTTCTCGTCGACTGGTGGCGTCCGGCTCGCTGAAGCCGAACGTGGCCTTGGTGGGCGACCCAAACTTGCCCTCGTTCTTGTCGAGCGCCGGCCTTGATCCGGGCGGCAGCACGAGGTTGCCGGGCGCCGACGATGCGCCGGCGACCCCGCTGGAGTGCGCGACGGGCACGGCGCTGCGGAAGCTCGAGCTCGACACGTTGTTCCTGCGGGCGGCGTCGTGGTCGTTCCTTTGCGACTGGGAGCCCGGCGCCGCTCGCTGGGCCATGGCAGCGTCCCTGCTCGTCTCAGAGCCCGAGGCAGCGCTGGCCTGCTTGCGCGCAGTGCCGGCCGCAGAGGGAGGCTGGACGCCAGTGTCGCCCTTGGTGCTGCTGGGCGAATCGGTGACGTCCTTGCCCTCGAGCTGGACCGTCCGCTGCGGCATGTCGAGCGTGGTCGCGGCGGCGGTCGCTTCGGCTGCCGGCAGAGTGCCGATGCTGGAAAAGGTGGGCAGCGACGACGAGCCACCGATGCCGGCTCCAAAGCTGCCGAGGCCCTTGGCAACCTGTGCGACGAGCTCGCGACCCTCGCGGATCTCGCGGGCGGCCGCCTTGAGCTGGCCCACCTCGTGCTTCATCAGCATCGTCATCTGGCCCACCCAGCGGTCCATTTCCTCGTGCTGGCTCGCCGTCTCGACGTGCGAGCGTCCGCCTGCCTGCGGATTGCTCGCCATCATGGCGTCCCGTTCGATGTCGATCAGCCGCGTCTCGAGCGACCGGATGAGCGGCACAGAGTACCGCTCGAAGCGGTAGAAGCGGACCATCATCTCCTGCAGCGCCTGGGGCAGCGACATGTCGAGCGGCATCGGGCCGGACCCGGGCGAGAGGGCGCTGGTGGCCTTGGAGCCAGCTGGCGGCGCCTTGGCCGCCAGGTTGCTTGCCGGCTTCGGTGCCTGGGCGAGCTCGCCAGGATGGGGCAACGAGGCCCTCGCATGCGGTGCTGCGTGCTGCTGCCATTCCCGCCGCGCATCCTGCTGCTGCTGCCGAGCTGGACCGGCAGAGGCAGGCGGCGCCTGGGAGGAAGAACTCTCCTCCCTTCTCTTGCCCTTGTCCTTCGCCTTGCTGCTGCCTCCTGCAGAGGCACCTCTACGAACCGCCTGCTCGGGCTCATTCGACTGCGCCGGGCGTGAGGCGAGGTCCTTTCCACTCGATTGGACCGCGGAAGCTTGCTGAGCACTGCGGCCTACGTCCGACGATTTCGGATCTTTGGTGGCATCCTCGGCAGCGGTCGCTGCGGTGGTGCGCGGCGATCCGTTGCGGCCCTCGAGGCTCTCGCGAGCCAGGTGCATCGATCTCGTCTCCTGGATGATCCTGTTGGCGATGAGAGACGGATCCGGAGCAGCAGAGGAGATGTCAGTCTTTTGTGCCGAGAGGTGGGTGGACGACTGGGCCGGCTGCTGTGAACTCCACTCACTTCTGGGCGGGCGTCAGTCGGCCCTCGAGACGGCTCAGAGAGTCGTCTTGGCTGCGGTCGACGATGCGGGGCACCGGCTTGCGGCCCGGCGGGCTCTTGCGCCTCTCGGCGTGCAGATTGGCCTCGTAGTCCTCTGACGGATCGTCGACCGCCTGCTTGGGGCGGTACTCGCGGTCCCGGTCCGGATCGAAACCCCTCTGCTGCGTGGTCGGCGACATGAGCTCGCGGCGCTCTGCGTCGACGATCCGCCTCGCCTGCTTCATCGACTGGCGCTTCTGTAGCAGTGCCTCGACGTCGTCTTCCGACGGCGGCGGGTTCGGCAACGTCTGCGAGCGGCGGCCCTGGTTGGGCGGCTGCCGAGGCGCAAGAGCCTGGCGCTCCGCCTGAGCATTCGACGGCAGGGCAGGCAGCGGCGACCCCTCCCGGGACCGGACGGCGGCCTCGAGGTTGGCGTTCGGATACATGGGCGCACCCCTCCAGTCCTGGTCATTGTCTCCGGCTTGCGGGGACTTGCCAAAGATGCCCTTGAACCACTTGCCTGCCAGGCTCGAGCCGCCCGGTGAGGCGCTGCGTCCGACGTAACCAGCTGCGCCGCCATCGCCGCCACGACTGGCGGCCATCGAGGAGAGGAAGCCGGGCGAGCCAGCCGGCGACACCGAGCCGAAGGGCGATGCGCCGTTCTCGTAGGAGTAGTCGGTCTCTGCACCCGGATCCCTTGAGCGTGATCGCGAGGCGAAGCCCGAGCCGGGTCCGCGGCCGTACGGAATGTCGACTGGTGATGGCAGGCCATCCAGCGGGCCCACAGGCGCTTGACCACCAACGACCGCCGCCGCGTCGCTCGCCTTCCTGCCTCGAGTGAAGCCAAACGAGAACTTGCGTCCTCGACTGCTCGGACTGGGAGCCTCCTGGCCCGATGCCGTGACCGCATCCGAGAAGTGGCCCACGCTCGCTGCGCCGGTCGGACCATGCCTCGGTGAGGCGCTGCCGTTGGCATGAACGGGTGATGTGGCAGAGGTGGCAGGGCCAGGGCCGCCGCTGCCGATGCCAGGAGACTGGCCATATCCGAGCGGGCTGGGCTGCCTGTAGGCGGGTGCGCCGTGCATCTCGTGGGGAGAGGGCGGGGCGCCATCGAACGAGGGTCTGGCGGAGCCGGGAAACTGTCGCGGTCCGGTCAGGCCCTGCGGCCGGATGCTCTGGAACGACGTCTTGGCCGAGAGGACTGGTCTTGTGGATTCTGCGCCGTCTGATCCGCTCGACTGCTGGGCGAGGCTCCTCGGGCCCGGCGTGATCATGGGCCGGATGACCTTGCCGGAGGGCGTTGTGGCCACCGAGGCGTCATCGCCGCCCTTTGCAGAGTGGGCCGAACGCGAGCGGGAGCGATCCTGCTGGTGGCCCTGCTGCTGCTGCTGCTGCTGGCCGAGGCTCTGGCCGGAGGGAGCCTTCCGCGGTGACCGTCCGCGCTCCTGGAGGCTCTTTTGGAAGCCGCCGGCGGTCATGCTGGCACCGCCTGGGCTGGCGGGGCGGGGGGCAGACATCTGGGGCGCGGCAAAGTGGGGCTCCGGCCTGCCGTCGTTTGAGCTGGTGGCGGTTCCGTAACCGACGCCGCCGCCTGGACCGCCTGCGGGTACGCTGAGGCTGAGTGCCGAGGCGATGGGGCGGGACTTTGAGCGCCTGTACTGGAGCTGGTGGCGGCCGTCGAGGGCGGTGGGCTGCTGCGCGTCGTCGTCCGAGTCTTCGAGGGTCATTCTACGCGGGGAAGGCTGCGCTGCGCGGCTCCAGTCTGGCTGGTAAGGAGCGTCTGAGACGGGCGAGGTGGGTGCGCTGACGCCTCCCGGCTGGCGGGTGACGGTGCGGACGACGAAACCGCCCGAGTTTGGGCTGGCGCCCCTTGCTGGCGAGTAGCCTGCGGACGTCTTGCGGGAGCGGTTGTTTGTGGGGTTGGCGATTGCCTGGTCGTTTGGGCTGGCGGAGCGGGAGCGGTTGAAGGGCCAGAACTTGGGCTTGCCCGACGAGGGGCTGACGGAGCGGTTGTCGAGCCGGCTGGGTGGGGTGGGAGAGGTCGACATGGGGCGGTAGCCAGGCTCGTGCTGGGGAGGCGCGAAGGAGTAGTGACCTCCGCCGTTGGACATGATGGCTGGCGTTGGCCGTTGGTGCACAGGCGGGGGTTGCTCTGGCTGTCGCAGTGGTAATTGGTGGGTGCGGGCCGAGTGGGATGGGGCGGGGAGAAGCAGAGCTGGCGGTGACCGAGCAGGTGCGATGCGGTGCGACCGGGTGTGGGTGAGTAGGTAGAGTAGGGGATGCGGTGGTGGCGTCGGTGGTCGTAATGATGATGATGGTGGTGTTGATGGTGATGGCGAGGAGGCAGGGGCGGTCCCAGACAGGCAAGTCAGCCCTTGCCAGCCCCGGCTGGGCTGGGCTGGCTTGTTTTTTCGACGCCAGCGAGCGAGCTGCTTGGCAGGCTGTTGCTGCGCCCAGACGCACTCGCGCATCACGGCGGCGCGTCCCAAGCAAGGTGGCTAGGCCGGCCAAGGTCAAAGTCCGGCGGGCGCTGTGGTCAGGCCAGGCCAGGCGAGGAGGGGGCGCGGCATCTCGGGGAGCGGCCGCCAGCAGCAGCGGCGGAGGCAGGCTAGGCTACGAGATCGAGTTTGGCGCTCAGGGGCTGCGCCCTTTTGGCGGCGTCCCCCCTGTTTCAGGCAGCCAGCCTGCCTGCCTGCCTGCCTGCGCTTGGAAAAAGATCAACACCGGACCGGCCAGCCAGAAACAGAGGGGCACGCGTGCGCGCGTGTTGGCAGCAGGCCTGCCAGGCGACGGTCAGGCGCAAGTTGGGCGCCCCCTTGGCCGAGATCCGAGCAGGCCCGCTTTTTTGGCTGCTCCGCCCCGCCTCGCCTCGCCTCGCCTCGCCTCGCCTCTCGCCTGGCCTGGCCTTTTTGGGCAGGTGCCGGCATGCACTCTCACGCACTCGCTCACGCACGCACGCACGCACGCACGCACACGCCTCCTCTGCCTCCTCCTCTGGTCTCCACCTCGCTCGACGCCCACCACCGCCACCGCCATTGCCACCCCCACCGTCGCCACCGTCACCAGCATCCAGATCTCGACAACGACTCCGACACCATCGCATCGGCCGCCCGCACCTTGGTTGCACCCGCCGCCCATCTCCAGTCCGGTCCGGTCCAGTCCAGGCCTTCTGCCGCCCCGCACACCCATACCGACCCCCTGAATCGCCGGCCATCTTGGCGGGCGTCCGGCGAGCTCAACCTCGTTCCGCGACATCGCCCATCTACGTCACAAGCACCGTACTCCATCCTGCTCCCCCTCTGGCGCATCTTCAGCCGGTCAGCCAGCCAACCAGCCAGCCAGCCAGCACGACCTGCTTCCCCCACCCCCTCTAGGCGTGCCGCCGTGCCGCTGCAGGTCCACTCTAGAGCTGCCGCGCACATCCTGCTCTTCTGCGCTCGAGACCGCCCGAATCCATCGCCTTAAACCGGTACCACTTGTTCTGCTTTGCATCGGCCGCCGCCCGCTTTGCCCGCCATGGACGACGACGCCACGCTAGAAATGTCGGCCGCGTACGGTGAGCAGCCGCTGTCCAGCCTCAAGGCTCGGCCCAAAAGTCCACTGACCTTGCCTCGGCACCTCTCCCGCCCCCCTCATCCCTTGACACGACAGACTTTCTATTCAAGTTCATCATCATCGGCGAGGCGGGCACGGGCAAGTCTTGTCTCCTCCACCACTTTATCAACAACCAATGTGAGCGAGCCGCAAGAACGTCCTCATCGGCGCTGGGCCAGCGCATCGGACTGACCTCGATCCTCGTCCCTCTTCGACCACCAGTCAAGGAACAGTCCGCCCACACCATCGGCGTCGAGTTCTCCAGCCGGCTCGTCAAGCTGGGAAACAAGAGCGTCAAGCTGCAGGTGAGCCCATGGCCCTACTCCCCTTCCTCGCGTGCCACCACGTGGGGAGCGCATCGGCCGCCGCAGAATCGACCGTCTGACCTTGGACGTCTGCCTGCCTGCACTGCACCACCTCCTTTACGCCCCGCGCAGCTGTGGGACACGGCAGGTCAGGAACGCTTCCGCTCCGTGACGCGCAGCTACTACCGCGGAGCAGCAGGCGCCATCCTCGTCTACGACATTACAAAGTGAGTGGCCCACTGCGCGCGGCAGAGCGCAGATCGAGCTTGCGTCCAACCCTTCCGTTGCTGACGATGAATCCTCCGCGTCGCACCTCGCAGACGATCCACGTTTGAGCCGCTGCAGCGATGGCTCTCGGATGCCCGCGCGCTGGCGTCGTCGGACCTGGTGGTGGTGCTCGTCGGCAACAAGCTCGACCGGGAAGAGGAGCGCGAGGTGGGCTACCTCGAGGCCAGTCGGTGGGCCGGCGAAAATGGTGAGCACCGAGGATTGAGCTTGTTCGTCTGACCCCGTCGGCTGACCTTCTCTTTCCTTTTTGCTCTGCCTGCGCTGTCGCTGCCACCGCTGCGTGCCGTCCAGGCGTGCTGTTCCTCGAGACGTCTTCGCTGACGGGCGAGAATGTCGAGGCGCCGTTTGCGCTGGCCGCGCGGTCGATTCTGCTCAACATTGAGTCGGGCCGGCTGGACCCGGAAAAGGCGGGGTCGGGCATCTCGTACGGCGACCGCGCGCTGCGGAGGGTGGGGAGCGGATCGCGCTTCAGCTTTGCCGACATGGACACGGTGCGATCGCGGAGGGGCAACGGCGTCGTCAAGCTCAAGGAGGTGGTCAACGACAAGCTGGGAGGCTGCTGCTGATGGCGGCGGCGCTACGACGTGTGCCCCCCTCCATGGCTCCTCGACCTGTCCCTCTCGACGCCGGGCAGCGGCCTCTTTGACGACAGCAGTGAGGAGAGGGGCGGCGGAGGGGCGACTCCTCTTGCTACGGTAGAGACAGACTGGTGGCAGCTTTCATCTCACCCTCTTTGGTCTTTTTTCGCAGACCGACAGGAAGGCGGTCGGTAATCTGGCAGGCGAGCCATGTTGCTCTTTCTCTTTCGCAGCCATGCCAGCCGGTTGATGTCGACGACGACCCTAGCCTACATGCTCCGCCTCTGCCGTGCCATCGTCTGGGCGCACCCGTTCGTCTACAGTATCTGGTACGGGACGGAGAGGGGTCGCGGTGAAAGAGGGGGCTCGGCTGTTGCAGTTTGGGATATCGGGACAAGCGGGCGGCTGTGTTTCGGATGTCGCCGGCACGCTAAGCAGGCTGTGCCGGCGATCTTGGCGTGCGTGGGTGCTCCTCTGCCTAGACCTGCCTAGCTGCCCTGCCTCTCTCTCTGCCCTTTGGGCGGGGCCACGGGGGGGACCCTGCTCAGGTTCAGTTGCAGTGAGGCCAGCAGGCAGGCAGGGCCTGGCAGGGCAGGGGCCAGGCCAGGGTTCTCGCTGCGGGCCTGTCGAAATTTCCACAGAGCAAGGGGGCCGGGGCCGGGGCCCGGGGCCCAGGGCAGGGTGCGGGGGAGGGCGAGCCGGCCAGGTCAGGCAGCCCCCACCCACCACGACCGAGCGCTGGGCGAGAGCTGGCTGGGGCGGGGGCGAGAAGAAGTGGCTGGAAGAAAGTCGAAAGCCAGCGCAGCTCAGGCCAGGCGAGCGTGAAATCTCTAGCCTGGCCTGGCCAGGCGGGGCAGGGCCGATATCGCGCCACTGATTGCTCCAGCGAGCGCCAGGCGGCCATGCAACCTCGCTCTCCTCGCCATCCTTTGCCCTCGTCCGTTGTCGTCGTCGTCGTCGTCGTCGTCGTCGTGGTTCAGCTCACTCATCTCCCTCGTCTCTCTCTGCTCATCGCCAGGTAACTCGCCTCGCTCGCCCTCGTGCCTGCTGCTCGCCAGAGAGGCGCCTGGCCCACCCAATCGACACTCGTAGACCTCTCGATCCTACTATCACCACCATCACCACCATCATCACCACCACCGCCTTCCGACTCTCGCCCACCCCACTCCTTTCCTCCCTTCCCCCCCTCCCCTCGCTACCACCCTCGCTCGACCCACCTGGCGCCTGCGACCGCGATGACGGTGATTGACACGACGCGCGACCTGGATGCGCTGTTCCGGCGGCAGGTTTCGGCGACGCCGGATGCGCTGGCGCTCGAGGACAAGGCGTCGCGCTACACCTACTCGCAGCTCGACGCGGCCGTCGAGGCCCTCTCGGATCGCTTCCGCCGCCAGTACCGCGTCGCCCGCGACACGCTCGTGGGCATCCTCATGGGCCGCGGCGCAGACTACGTGATCGCCTGCCTCGCCGCCCTCCGCGCCGGCGGCGCCTTTCTCGTCCTCGAACTCGCCTACCCGCCCGGCCTCCTCGCAGACGTCATTGCCGACGCCAACCCGGCCGTCATTGTCACACAAGAGGCCCACGCAAAACTCATCAAGGCAGACGTACCCACCATCCTCCTCGACCAACAGCACCCGCCCACCGCCACCGCCAACGGCGCACACGACGATGCCCAGCCCCTCCCGCCCCTGCCCAAGGACACCGACCTGGACCGCCTCGCCTTTGTCTCGTACTCGTCCGGCACCACCGGCAAGCCAAAGGGCATCGCCAACCCGCACCGCGCCCCCGTCGGCTCCTATGCGCTCCGCTTTGCGGTAAACGACCTGCACCCGGGCGACCGCGTCGCCTGCAACGTCTACTTTGTCTGGGAGATGCTGCGGCCCTTGCTGCGCGGCGCCACCACGTACGCCGTGCCCGACGAGGCCAGCTACGACCCCGTCGCCCTCGTCGAGCTCCTCGCCTCCAAGAACATCACCGAGACGCTCATGACGCCCACCCTGCTCGCCGCCGTCCTCTCGCGCCACTCGAAGCTCGGCGAAAAGCTGCCCGCCCTCCGCTCCCTCTGGCTCAACGGAGAGGTCGTCACCACCGACCTCGCCCGCCGCGCCGTCCGAGCCCTCCCCAACGCCCGCCTGCTCAACTGCTACAGCGCCAGCGAGACCCACGAGGTGGCCTGCGGCGACATTGGCGAGATGCTCAAGACGCTCGACGCCGACGCCGCCTACTGCCCAGTCGGCCCGCCCATGGACCTGCCCCACACCTACATCCTCGACGAGGCCGGCAACCCGGTCGCGCCCGGTACGCCCGGGGAGCTCGTCGTCGGCGGGCCCAACCTCGCCCGGGGCTACCTCAACCTGCCCGACACGACGGCCGCCGCCTTCACCCGCGACACGTTTGCCGCGTCCGAGCCGGGCGCGCGCAAGTATCGCACGGGCGACCTGGCCCGCATCCTGCCCGGCTCTGGCCTGCTCGAGATCACCGGCCGCGTCGGCGGCATGATCAAGATCCGCGGCTACTCGATCGTGCCCGGCACCGTCGAAAAGGCCATCATCGACAAGTTTGCCGTCAGCAGCTGCGCCGTCGTCGCCCACGGCGACGGCCTCGAGCGCCAGCTGTTGGCCTACCTCGTCCTCGAGGACGACGCCGCCGAGCGCGGCGAGCGCTCCTCGCTGCCCATCGACGAGAACGGCTACAGCCCGGTGGCGCGCCAGACGCTCGTCCAGGTGCTGGCCCACTACATGATCCCCACGCTCTGGGTCGTCCTCGACTCGCTGCCCACCCACGAGGTGTCGGGCAAGGTCGACCTCAAGAACCTGCCCTCGCCCTCGGCCGCCATCGCCGCCGCCAACGCCACGGGCTCGCGCACCAGGAGCCCGGGCCCCGACGAGATGATCAACATCAAGTCGATCGCCAAGCTGTGGGCGCTCTCGCTCAACATGTCGCCGGAGTCGATCCTCGAGGCGGGCAAGACGGTGAGCTTCTTTGACCTGGGCGGCCACTCGCTGTCGCTCGCCGACCTCGCCACGCGCATCTCCAAGACGCTCGGCGGCTTCACGGTGCCCGTCGGCGAGCTGGCCGGCTCGCCCAGCCTCGAGGGCCACGTCCAGGTGCTCATCAACGCCCGCGACGGCCACAATGCCGCCGTCCAGGCCGACCTGCCCGCCATCCTGCGGGCCGACTCGGTGCTCAGCGACGAGTTCCGGCCCAAGGCCGGCAGCCCCAAGCACCTGCTCAGGGACGCCGACACGGTGCTGCTGACGGGCACCACGGGCTTCCTCGGCGGCTTCCTGCTGCACGACATCCTGGCCAGCACGTCGGCGCGCGTCATCTGCCTGATCCGCTTCGACGCGCCCTACCGCACCGACCGCTCGGCGGCCATGGCGCGCCTGCGGCGCAACATGCTCGACCTGGGCCTGTGGGACAACTCGATGCTCGACCGCATCGACGTGCTGCCGGCCAACCTGTCGCGCAACCGCCTCGGCCTGGTGCCCGACGTCTACGAAGAGCTCGTCGCCAAGGTGCAGGTCATCGTCCACTGCGCCGCCCAGGTCAACCTCGTCTACCCGTACGCCGCGCTGCGCGACGCCAACGTCGAGGGGACGCGCGAGATTCTGCGCCTGGCGTGCCTGTGCAACGCCACGGTGCAGTACGTGTCGACCAACGGCGTGCTGCCGCCCTCGCAGTCGGGCTGGCCCGAGAGCGCGTCGATGCCCATTGACGACGTGCCCGACAAGCTGCTCGACGGCTACTGCCAGACCAAGTGGGTCGCCGAGCGCCTCGTCCTCGAGGCCGCCCGCCGCGGCCTCAACGCGACGGCGGTGCGCATCGGCACCCTCAGCGGCCACTCCAAGACGGGCTCGACCAACACCTACGACCTCATCACGGCCCTCATTGTCGAGTCGCTCCACCTCGGCGTGGCGCCGCACATTGACGGCTGGCACGTCGAGATGACGGCCGTCGACTACGTCAGCAAGGGCATCGTGGCGCTCGCCAACCACGCCGACGGCGAGCAGCTCGTCTACCACCTGGGCGACCCGGAGCCGATCGACTGCCAGCTCCTCTTCCACCACCTCGAGGCGCTCGGCTACCCGACGCGCCGCACCGACTGGGAGTCGTGGGTGGCCCTCTGGCAGGAGAAGCGCGGCAGCGCAAAGGGCGGCGACCACGGCGTCACGGTCGACATCCTGCGGTCCGGCATGCCCCCCAAGGAGTTCCTCACGGGCATCATTGCCCTCCGCGACGACGCCACGCGCAAGGCCATCGGCGCCGAGCTCGAGCGGCCCAAGATCGACGCCCGGCTGCTCCAGACCTACGCCCGCCACTGGTACTCGCGTGGCTGGCTGCACCGCCAGCCGTCGAGCGTCCCCGCCACGCCCAGCGTCGGCTCCGCCACCAACGGCGTCGTCAACGGGCTCGCGGCGGCAGGAGCGGCGGTCGTGGGAGCAGCAACGGCGGCAGTTGGAGCAGCGGCGACGGGGGGCAGCTGGTGCAGCGTCTGCAGCGGTCGGCGC